AGACAGATAGATAGATAGATAGATAGATAGATAGATAGATAGATAGATAGATAGACAGACAGACAGATAGATAGGCAGACAAACATGGACAAACAGACAGACAGACAGACAGACATAGATAGATAGATAGATAGATAGATAGATAGATAGATAGATAGATAGATAGATAGATAGGCAGACAGATAGGCAGACAAACACAGATAGATAGATAGATAGATAGATAGATAGATAGATAGATAGATAGATAGATAGATAGATAGATAGATAGATAGATAGATAGATAGATAGATAGATAGGCAGACAGATGGGCAGACAAACACAGATAGATAGATAGATAGATAGATAGATAGATAGATAGATAGATAGATAGATAGATAGATAGATAGATAGATAGACAGACAGATAGGCAGACAAACACAGATAGATAGATAGATAGATAGATAGATAGATAGATAGATAGATAGATAGATAGATAGGCAGACAAACACAGATAGATAGATAGATAGATAGATAGATAGATAGATAGATAGATAGATAGATAGATAGATAGATAGATGGGCAGACAAACACAGATAGATAGATAGATAGATAGATAGATAGATAGATAGATAGATAGATAGATAGATAGATAGATAGATAGATAGATAGATAGACAGATAGATGGGCAGACAAACACAGATAGATAGATAGATAGATAGATAGATAGATAGATAGATAGATAGATAGATAGATAGATAGATAGATAGATAGATAGGCAGACAAACACAGATAGATAGATAGATAGATAGATAGATAGATAGATAGATAGATAGATAGATAGATAGATAGATAGATAGATAGATAATAATAAATTGGTTGGTAGGTATACAGAGTAGAGGTAAAATATAAGTATATGTAAAAATAAAGTAGAGCTAAAAAAGTACAGATAAAAATAAGTAAATTTGAACTAAATAACTACAACTTAAAGTAGAAATATTATACATCATCCTATAAACACATCCACTGCATGGTGAACTGTAAAGGGGACAAGTAAAGCCATTCCTCAACTTTAAACAGGTGGGTATAATTAATGAAAATATTATAAAATGAAGAGTGCAGCATAATATCCTAGAAACCACTTCAGAATCACTTCTCACTGAATGACTGTTCAGTCTAAACACTAAACACATGGCAGAGTGAGCACAACAGAGAAAACGTTAAGACTTGGTTGTAACACAGTCCAGCAGATGGACGACCTCTCCAAAATGCTGAGGAAGTTCTTTCCTCCTCCAAAGGTTCTGCTGATGTAAGTGTGTATGTGAGTGTGTGTTGGGGTGCGTGCGGCTGTCACACTGCAATCTTGGTCTAGGCTTGTGCTGACAATGGGGTTAAAAGGAGGCCGGGTGAAGTGAGTGTGACATAGTGCTGCATCCAGCTTGCAGCCACAGAGGCCCCATTGTGCTCCTTCAGCCATCAGTGGCCATCCATCACATTTTAACCTGACAGCCAACTGCACAGCCTCCTAATCCTGCCAGGCCTGGCGAGCTTGGGTTACTGCAGTGAGAGGGCCGCTAGTGCCCTCCATTCAGACCCGTGGACGAAGCATGATGGGCAGAAGGCGTCAGTTGAGGTGCGGCCTTGGGTGGTTGGTTGAGGGGCAGTAACATCTCTACTCTACTAATTTTTCAATAACTCTACCTAATTAAATGGTTAAGATGTGAACAAAGTCATTCAGAGTGGTCTGATGTGAAATGCTCTGTCCTAGAAAAACTTGCGAGGCAGAATTATTCAAAGTTGGTGGTGATGGGAACCAGACAACTGAAAAGTTTAATGCCTGTTAAAGCTCCCTCACAGAAAGTTATTACATGAAATGATTACCAATACACTGACCGATGCCTAAAAATTTCTTTACACGGAGATAGGATTTTGGCCTAAAACATTTTCTAAAACACATTCATAGTGGAGGGGTACATGCAGGGTGTTGTAGGGCAAAATAGTCCCCAAAGAAAACTAGTTTTTTCAGATTTACCACTATTTTAACATAGTAAATAAAGTATTATATATATATATATATATATATATATATATATATATATATATATATATATATATATATATATTAGACATTTTGATCCCTAGTTGCTATCACCACCATTGTAAAGAAGTCAGAATTGGTACGTTTCTCTACAGTGCACCATTTCACATCAAACCGCTCTGAATTACTTTGTTTACATCTCAATGATTGGATTATGTAAGAATTACAGTATGTAAGAATTTTAGGGAAATACTTAACCAGAAAATGAAAATAAACCTGAAAGGCAAATTGAGTTTCATACATAAAGTTTAGGCTTCATTATTTAAGTTTTAAATGTAGTAAAATAAAACAACTTAAAGTCACAAAATTGCAGTTTGCATTGTCTTGCAAAACCGGCAACTTTGATCCAGTTACCAAGCCAGCTACCTTGCCAACCATAAATAGTAAAAACACAAAAGTGAAGATAATTATTCCATCCATTTCAGCCTCTTGACCGCCTGTGTGCCATGTTGCCTCTTGTTTATGTATTAATCTATAACCAGTCAGAACAAAATATTTAAAACATTGCTATAGTTAACAATGATGTAAATTTGTATGAGCTGAAGTTTTGTACGCACAATTTGTTCTCGAAGTTGTGGACACAAAACCATTCATCAAGGAGATTCCATTAAATTAATGGGTGGAATGTAACTTGAACCCTGCTACATAAAATTGACATCATATGCCATCATGAGTTGTCATATTATTTATACACTCATTAATAGTTGTCGGCTTATGGTCAGTAATTACCGGTAATTGTCATGACAGACATCATAATGTTAACAGCTAACTGGAATAAACAGTAATGGCAGCATGACACTGTTTTACTAACATTACTATTATAACAAATTCTCAAGATAACATATGATATCTTCCATGTTTATGATTATGGTTATGTCAATGTTATGTAGCAGGGTTCATACATTACTTCATGTTGGCTAATGTAAAGCAAAGGCCTACATAAAGCTTTCTTCACATTATGGGTTTAAACAAAGTCACTATAGAAAAGTCTGTCCACTCAATGGCCATCTTGGCAACGATGCCGAGCAGTTAGTTTCCAGTCATAAAAGACCAGGCTCCTATCTCTTTGAATCGGGAGAGAGGTATAAAACTGAAGCCGTAAGCCATCAACATTTCAAATACATATTTGAAAACACTGATAAAATCTGACAAAAACAGCACAAATACTTTGATGTTTTGCTCAAATGCACAAAAGTGTTTTCTGCAGGTTGTTCTGCATGTCCACAAGGAAGGGGGGCTTTTCCTACTTGCTGCTGAAACTGCAAGCTGACTGACTCATTCTATTGAGTGTAAACAGATGTCATGTTGAGCATTAGGAGTTTTCCTCTTCATATTTTATACAGTGACCGGTCTCCTCCTTTATAACGTCTCTGGTTTAAATTTGTTTTCTATGGAAACCGTGTGTTTCATGGACGCGCAAGTGATCGTGTGCTGTAAAACGTTTAAGTATGACCCTTAACTAAGAAGAGCAGTTAAGATGAATGCACTGCATCTAAGTACACAGCTTAGCATAAGCGTAAGCCAGTATTTAACTTGAGACAAACATTTAGGATATTTTATGGGAGTGACCACCAGCATGCAAATCTGACACCTGATCCTGAACACTTGATTATGTGCGAAAATTCGAACCGATTCTCAGATGAGCAATGAAACTTCCACAAGCACTTAGCAAACACTGATCCCTGACAACGTGAAGATGGAGAGGGTACGAGTCGTGCCAAAGCCGAATGGTGAAAAACCCCCTTCGCCGTGTATTGCACGAGGCTCAAATAGCTACTGCGGCATCAGTAACCATAAATAAGCCTGTGTGCTTCATTAGAGGTTCCAAACGGAAGCTCATCAGAATCAGCATGTGAGCTATGAGGCCAGACACATCCATTAGGGATTTCCAGCCTCCGGAGAGGCTAACTCATTTTTTGGGGTCAGGGACAGTGAAGGTCCAGCTCGGTATACAGTACCAGGACCAGAACTATAGATCAAATCACAGAAAGAGAGACAACTAAATTTACTGTAAGACTGACATAAAGAGATGATTGAGGAAATAACAGTGAATACCAGACTCTGCTTAGCATAAATATTCAAGTACAAAGAACAAAATAACGTATGATGTCGGCAGAACTAGTAGTATGATCAATTATCATAGCAACTTAACAGCCTTAATGCTCTTATAATAATATATGTACAAAGCATTTGCAATGATATATACTATAATACATATACTGTCTAAAACATGAACATAGGAATAAGTGAATAAGGTTGAACACCCTTCAGTCAAGAGGATGTGTACTTAGAAAATCAACAAAACATATAATTTGACTACGCGTGCCCAAACTTTTGCATATGACTGTACTGGGTCTTGCTTGGATGTGTGGTTCTAGGAAAAAACCTGAATTCCTAGAGAGGCTTTACGTTATGTGGGGGTTACTTTAAAAAGGTTCTCTATACTCGTACATCTCATTTACAAAAATATTCTATGGAATAGAACGCTTTTAGGAACCCTAATTTATGAGACTGTATGTACATAACGTATATAATTACATATAATATACATATATACTATGCTATGCATTATACTATACGAATAATGAAATTAAATGCATATTTACAATCTCTTAAAACAAGAGAACAAATTGATGGTGAGGGGTTGTGTTGGTTAATTAAGGCACCAATTCTGGATCGCTCTTTCAAATCTCTTGCGATCCGTTTGATTTCCCTGGCACCATATCATGTTGCCGGACTTTCAACAGTGGCCTGACGCCGTTCCTTGAACAAAACTGGCCCCCAAATCCCCAGGAGATGGGGGGGAATGGACAGAGATGTAAAGTTTAGATGTGCGGCAACAGCTAAACGCGGGGTCGGGTTTCTCCGGGCCCTCTGCTATATTTAACCTAGTGATCTAACACGAGGCAGAGGGTTTAAATGCCACCCCTGCAGTTGGTGTTGGAGCAGTTGTCGCCCACAGATCTTCCTCGGCACGAGCTCAGGGATACACCACCAGGCAGGACCTAGAACGAGAACAGGCGAGAGAGGAGGGCAAGAAGAGAAAGCTGGGTGGAATCTACGTTAACTCAAGCCTTAAGATGGAGCTTTTCGAGACCAACCCGTACTTCTTCCCAGACCAGAGGTTTTACGAAGGGGGTGACAACTACTTTTCAGGTTCGAGGCTGACAGGAGGTTTTGACCAAGCAGGATACCAAGACAGGAGCTCCATGGTCGGGCTTTGCGGGGATAGCAGGCTGCTGTCTGGCGGCGTTGGGCTGGAGGACAAGCCATCCCCAACATCTACTGTAGGTCTTTCGCTCTCGCCAACCCAAGAACAGCAGCACTGCCCGGGTCAGTGCCTGCCCTGGGCCTGCAAAGTGTGCAAGCGCAAGTCGGTGACCATGGATCGGCGGCGGGCGGCCACGCTGCGTGAGAAGCGGAGGCTCAAGAAGGTGAATGAGGCCTTCGAGGCACTCAAGCGCAGCACACTGATGAACCCCAACCAGAGGCTGCCCAAGGTGGAAATCTTGAGGAGCGCCATCCAGTACATTGAGAGGCTGCAGGCGCTGGTCAGTTCCCTCAACCAGCAGGAACATGAGCAGGCTGGACTGCACTACAGGGGCACAGCCCCGCAGAGGGTGAGTACAGCTGGGATTGAAGCTGGAGTGGGTGGGGGAGAGGGGCGTGTAAGGCAAAGAGCTGTAGTTCATTGGCAAAGCGAGTAAATGTCAAGATGAGTAAATGAACACAATTCAAGAAAATCTATGTTCTGTTGATGGATAGCTGTAAAGGAAAGCTCACACTGGAATCACATGCTATTCAAAATTCACATTCTATACAATCTAACACACAAATAAACGTATTGAAATGTAATCACCATCGAGGTAATTGAAAGCAAAAATCACCTGCTTTGAGAATATTTACTTTAATACAATTAGGCTTGATTTTTTAGCTTTGGTGAAAGTTTTACACTGTGTACAGAAAAACTAGACAGTTCCTCGTGGTGCCTGAAACACAGCTTGCCTACCATTAAGTTGTTTTGTTTGTATATGGGTGGGACAGAGTTGAGATTGACAACTGTGTGTGTGTGTTTGTGTGTGTGTGTTAAGGTGTCCTCCTCAAGTGAGCAGGGGTCTGGGAGCACCTGCTGTAGCAGTCCAGAGTGGAGCAGTGCATCTGAGCACTGCGCCCCAGCCTACAACTCCACTCATGAAGGTAAGAGCAGAAATCCATCATTCACACAGTGAAATGCTGATCAAAATGCTGTTTTGCGGTCAATAAATTAGAACCCTCATAGCAATCTCAAGCTTCATAAGACATACTGACCAAGACAAGTTTGGAATATTAGACCTCAAAAGTTCTTACCTCCTTGTTTCCTCCAGATCTCCTCAATGAAGATTCTTCTGAGCAAGCCAACTTGAGATCCCTGACATCCATCGTGGACAGCATCACAGGCACAGAGGCTACACCAGTCACTTACTCAGTAGACATTACCAAATGAAAAAGAAATGGGGTGAAGAAATGTCGGAAATTGCCCCATTAGGACGTCCAGGTCCAGAAAACCTATAACGGCAGCACTACCTACGACACTGAGGCCGAGAAACTACAAGAAAACCACAAAAAAACAAAAAAACAAAACCGACCCCCTGGGGTTCCATTTCCAAGCAAAATTTAGTGGTCCATAACAAATATTTCCAATTTTTTCTTATCTTTGGAAGGATGCAGGCTAGCTAGTCTAGACCTAAGACAGGAGTAGCAAAGGCAAACTCATGCTGAAACCTTTCCTTGATTGTTCTTGTTTCTTGCATTCTTTTGCGTGTGTGTTATGCTTACCAACAAATATTCGTTTGTGGGGCCAATGTTTTATGACAGTTTTGACCAATATTTGCTTAATTTAAACTAGTTCCAAAATGCCATGTAAATACGTTCCTATTTTCTACAGAGTGTTTGTTTGTTTTTTTTGTTTTGTTTTCTATTTTATTTTCTATTTTTTTGTTTGTTTTGTGTTTGGAATAATTTATTTGAACTTTTATAATAAAGATTGTTGTGTATTTGTACATTTGTACATTTTCTCATATATTCTTCCTGGATGGAAAAATAGCATTCAAAATTGTGCCCAAAAATGAAAAGATCAATTGGAAAATTATTACATAGTTAAATATTTATTTCAAATATTTATATATTTCATTTTTTTCTTGTTTTATACATTTACAGTGAAAGAAAAAGAAAAAAGAGGCTAACATAACCTCGACAGCACCTACTAGGAAAAAAAAATCTCCCTCCGAAAGCAAGAAAAAAACTCTCACTTTAACAGACTTAAGCCACATGCCTCATGTGAAATCTGAAAGAACTACTGTATACATCATTCTGTACACAAATGAACTATTTACACTGACATTTAAACCTACACACATGCACACAGATTGAAATATGAGAAAGAGCCAGAGAGAGAGAGAAAGAGAGAGAGCGAGAGAGAGAGAGAGAGAGAGAGAGAGAGAGAGAGAGAGCTGCACCTGTCTTACACTTCACATTACTGTCAAGAAGTACAGAAACGGCAGGGTGTAAAATGCTACCAATCACAGGAGAACACACTGCAAAGCAGATGGCTTCGGGTTGCTGTCAGTTCAAACTTCACACACATCGTTCGTCTGCAGAAATAAAGGAACGCCTCACCGGTGGGTCGACACTGGACTGGTGCAGGTCAAGATTTAACAATTCAAGGTGTCAGTCTATCATCAGAAAGGTCTCACCATGAAGGTATGGTTTGGTAAAAAGACAGAAAAACAAGGAATGCAGGACAGAAAGATTGAAAAGAAATGTAAAAATACATACTGAAGAAAGTGATGCACTGAATTTACTGCATTCAGATGTGAACATCATTTCCACACAGGGCTGTTTCTTGCCATAACCAATATAAGCACTTTGGGGCCTCGGACCACCAGGGACCCACAAGTCATCCCTCGTTTGTAAAGCTACATGAGGCTTGCATTAGCCTTTCATCACAACTGACATAAACCTACATGAACACTTACAAAGGCTTATTCCAACAAGCGTCAGTCATCATAAAGGCTGCTTCTGTCAGTTTTTATAAGTGATATTACAACCAACTCTTGTTGAAATAAACCTTTATAAATGTTTCAGTAGGTTTATGTCAGTTGTCATGAAAGGCTAATGTAGGTGTCGTGCACCCTTATGAATGCCCCTCAGTAAAGTGTTACCAAAATCTCTAAGGAAGACATCATTTTGCTTTCCAAAAAACACAAAAGCAGAAAGGATGTCTAGTTCTGTGTTCAGTAAAGCCCAGTTCTAAATAGTGTATTCACTATGCAGTAAGCTTTATTCATTATGACTTGTATTAGTACATAGCTGGAGGTCTGTTATGTTAAAATCATATTATTAATTATAATATTTCCCAATAAAAGATCTTGTTATGAAAATGTCCCCAAAGTAATCACCTAAATTCATACATTATCAGTGTATAGTTTACAATGTTCTATTCCAGGGTTCTAGGTAGTGTTAAAGCTCCAGAGAACCTAAATTTTGCTTTCTTTCTAAGTAGGTTAATTTTGCTCTTGCTAACATTCTCCTCTCTCAGTGTAAAGTGGGCAGTCCTAATCTTGGGTAGTGCATACATAAGCATTGTCCTCGCCAAACAACAAGGCTGACGTGGCATTTCTGGCCCACACAGCTTAAACAAAACTGTGTTCCCCTTTTCTATGTTCAAGTCAGAGAATCTTAGCACAAGAAAGCTAATAAACAACAGCTAACTTAGCATAACTGAGCTAGCATAAACGTCCATTCGTCCATTCAGACATCCAGCAGTACAGTGAATAAAACCTTCTTCTTTAAGACGTCGCCATATAAAACTGGACGGCTTAGTGAGCTCTGATAGAAATAATCTACCAACACCACCTGCATATCCTTTATCCATAAACTATATAGCAGTATATATATATATATATATATATTATATATATATATATATATATATATATATATATATATATATATTCATATCTCCAAATGACAACTTTACAGGAGAAGGAAAAAACCTACTTTACTTTTAATATAAGTCAATGGAACCAGACTTTTTTCCAAGTCATTTTGCATCTGTTCTTTTGGTCCATTCTTCAGAAAGTACATACAATGTAAAGGGTAACAGGCATTTTCAAATTATGTCAAAAACTGAAAAACAACAAAAATGGAGATATGAGGTTTTCTTCTGACAGCAGCGATATATTTTAGACATTAATGATATGTAGAGCATGTTTCACTCATTTTCTGGTTGTGTTGTTGCGTTTAGTTCTGCTTTAGTGCTGTAGTATGCCAGGAGGGCTGTCAATCATGCGCACTCCTTTGGTAAGACCACGTCCAGACAGTTCTCAGATAGGCCTGATATGTGATTTTTAAGCAAGGTTTAATTATATTTCTGTCTTACTTATTTTAGTATCGTACAGACATTTTTTGTATTTTACACTGTTCCCTGAAACTTTACGTGACATCTGGAGTTCAGTCAGTAATGCATTCAAGATATGTTCCATTTTTTTAAGTAGAGTAAACAAGTTTTTATTAAGTGTTTTAAGCTAGTTTTAACCCATGTTGACAATTAAGTGAGGATAAATAGAACTCGTATGAACTTGTATGAAAGGGTGTTTTTTTTCTGGAATGTTTTGTTTTTGTTTTTTTTTAATCATGAACAGGTATTGAATTTGTGATGCACACTATTTTAAAAATGTGTTAGCTTCACTACAATAAACTCCAGAAGTCACTTCATTCTACTGAGAACCTGCAGGAATAAGATACTTCCAGTTATTTAGGTGTTCATTTCGCATTATTCTTAGTTTTCACGTTACAGTCCTCCAATTATGTACTAATACAGGTCATAATAAATAAAGCTTCATGCACAGTGAATAAATCATTTAGACATGTCTAATATGGTCTTAACTGAACAAAGAACAAGTGCTCTTTAAATATTATTTAACAATTTAGTTTCAGGATTCTATTTTCCTTCAGTATAGTTTGTTATTGTTTTACTGCGTTTACCTTCATTATGATCAAATTGAAGTAATTATTAAGTATAAGTTCTTTTTTTTCTTGCATATCAAATAATATGATTATGGTGGATGGTGACCCACAGATAGGATGTTGCTCGGGGCCTTTTACTGGACATAATTTTGCCAGTAACTGTATTTATGTGATATATTTGACTCGTGTATAAATGAAGTACACATTTGAATCAAGTCAATTCAGTGAATCACTTTTTGCGGGGATTCGGGCGAGTTGTCTGTATTAGATCAGGCACAATTAGCAGATATAGAGGTAAAAAAAAGAGCAGCACACCACAGGATTTTTCAAGTTCAAGTGTTCAACTGATGGATTCTTCAGATATATATATAATGAATGAGATTGAGAGAGTGACAGATAGAGAGACATTAAGAGAAAGACAGTGAGCTGTGAGGCAATAGAGGCAACAGAATGATTGTCAGTTTTGTGGCATGCATGCTCCAACATATCCCTCTCCTGCCAATAGTGTCCCATACAGAAAAATAGATAATCTAAAGATACTAAATCACTCACACTCAGTATGATATGGACTTCAATGGATATCAAGTATTTCTCACCGTTTCGGTGCTTTTTTTTATACTGATTTGATTATTGGGGCACAGCTATCTGTTTAATCTTCCAACAGATTCACTGTAATTCATAGTGTTTTAATAAATAGCACTTTTTTTAAGTAAACAAACAAAAAAGGCTCAATATATCAGCATATAGTGTTACACTTGGCATAAAGTACATATACACATACTTACATACATATACAGAAATAAGTAAAATAGCTGCCACAGTGGCACATTGTACATCTCTTGAAATGTAATTAAAACACTGTCTGTAAAAAAAGCAAACAGAACATAAAAAATATAAAACAAAACAAAGCAAAAACCTACAGGTTGTTGTTATATCTCATCAGTTCGACTGATTAATGCAGAAAGAAAAAAAACGAATGGATTTAAGACCACACCTCCTAGTGGCTGTTGTTTGCAACTTTCATATTTTTGGCGCATTTATGAACTACTCTAGGCTTGATGATGAAGACACGGAAGGCTATTGCTTTCTGTGCTGTCGCATATAGTCCTGCGAATTTCTGTTTGATATGGAGGGCTTCTTTGTCAAACTGCTGACTTACCCTGATCTTTAAAGGAATACTCCAGCATCTGCAGCAGCACCTACCCTATAGGCCGCTGTTATATAAGTCCTTTCAGTAGTGTTGTAGTACTCAAGTCCGTTCTTAGTAACAGTCTCTGTCTTATCTCGGCCTCGACATCATTTGGACACGGTCTTACCTCTGTCTCAGGATAAGATAGAGTCTTTCCATGATGGCTTAACTGGGTACTATTTCTTTGTTGATGTTCATTGGTTCCAAAACTCAAATGTTCCCTGAGGGCAGATTGGAATGTTATTATTACTATGTTCTCATTTAATAATAAAAATGGATGTGTGTTGTTCGGTTTATGTTCAGTTTTAGAGAAGAAACGACAGAGAATAACCTCCCCATCATTTGCTTCCAAAATTTACGACGCAAAGTTGGACTAATACTATACTATAATAATAATTAATAATAATTATAATAATTAATAATATTTTAGGCTATATATTATTTAATGCTATAATGTATAAAATAAACAACAAATTTCTTTTTTTATATTTAAAAAAAATCTTAATTGGGTCTTGGTCTTGTGTCAGTCTTGACTCGACTACTACAAAGTACTGATTCAGACTTGATGTGTCCGGCTTGCATACTCACCTCTAGTGGTCTTGACTACAACACTAGTGTTGAGTGTTTTTATTATTTTTTTCATCATTTTTATCATTTTCAGTTTCCCATCACACGATGCTACCAAGCTGGGAGATTTTTATGTTTTTTTATGGACTATGGGCCACAGATGGTTGTGGCATCACCAGGGATCAAACTCATGATCTGTCGACGAGGTTTTCTGTAAGGTAACATCAAAACATTTGCTCATAGCAATTAGTCATAAGCTACAGATGCGGCAGATAGAGATTAGAGTATTCCTTTAAGGCCTGGACATTTTTTTCGGAATGCAGATGAGCTCTGCTAAGATGACCGCAAACTCACTCTTCCCCAGATACCTACTTAGATGCTACTGATAATAAGCCCTTTTATTTTCATCTGGGACCAGCTCCCTCCTGCCCAGATTCTAAGAGCAATTGCAAAAAACTGGTCTCAGGTCAGCATAAAAGGGCAACTTCCACCAACACATCCAAAACAGTGGCTACAAATCTAACACTATCAGACAGAGAGTTTCAAACAAACAAAAACAGTCACAACTGAGACAGATTTTCAGTATTCATACAATAATGATATAGTCTTTTCCATATACAATTCCAATATATATATTTATATATTTCTATAAAAAACATATTATAATCCATTTTATATACAGAAAGAGACACTGATTAATACCTTGCATAACCGGAGGGGGGGAAAACCTTACATAGTAAATTGCCATCAACACACCCAAGGAAGTAGACTAGAACTGACAGACTAGGGGCCAAGTACACCAGTTGAAAACGACCAGCACAAGGACTAAATAACTTGGGGTTACTAGGAAGTGACCGACGTGACAAGATATCTCCTTTAAGAGCAGCTACGCAACGAGTGCGTTCAAGAGTTCAAAGTTCAGGTTTTTTTCCCCTATTGCACCGTTTCCACGAAAGCACTGGTTTCGTTCGGGAGGGGGGGGTGGAGAGATCGAGCCTCCAAAAGTTTCCCCCCGAAATTTGGCATATCACTCTCGAAAGGCCGCAAGCATGTGTCCATACAGGTAGTGGGAATGCACTGTCAGGACAGAGCAGAACACAGATAAATCAGGAAAGTATGGTGTAGTATGGCTACACATGAATGAAAGTTACTAGAGACCAGTTAACACATCTTCCTCTGAAATAAATGCCAAACATTCCTTGGTAGCTTTCTTTTATTATATCAAATATTCCCTTAAGGAGGAAAAGTTATTTTCAGGACTTGCTAGTTGTTTTTTAGGATTATGGTCTTGCACTTGGCAGAAATGTTACTAAGGCTACTATAAATTAGCCTTGTCTGGAAACCTAGAAACACAGTTATACCAATAATTAGGATAAAATGTCTCAGAGCAGCTTACCTGGTAGCATGAGTGCAGTTAGTAAAGCAGAGTTAGCAGGAGTAAGTCCTGACGACAGAGGGGTCAAGTCTCTGAGGTGGTGGGGGTCCAGCTATGGCACCACAGGGACAGAGGGGAGACAACATGCAATGAGAGAGCAAGCAAGCAGGAAGAAGCTCCTTTATGGAGACTGGATACAGCCAGTCAAATAGGCTAAAAAGCTAACAGTATGGGTGACATCTAGCTGCAGCATGGCAGAACAAGCCCTAGGCTTGCCTCAGCAAAAACTGAGTGGAGGAGCCCAAAAAGTTAGCCAACTATCTAGCATTTACCTAAGGTTGTTATACAGCTTAAGTGCTGGTGAAGTAGCTCACAGTAAAATTTGGTAAAAAATTTGTTAAAGCAAATATACTGTTTCAGAGAAGGTATGCCACTTGGCAGTAAAAAAATGCTGAGAAAAAAGTGTCCCATATTTTTCCATCAAGTATGAATCAAATTTACTTACAGAAAATATATACTAACATACACACTAACATAGTAGCAGTATTATAAATACAAAATGTTTAATAAGTATTTTAAATAAAGTAAATCAAGTAAACCTGCTTTTAAAAGTCAAATTATATGAGACTCTTATTGTGACATTCCTGCAGAATTTGAGTGGTTACTGCGAGTGAAGTCAAGCGCTGGCAAAGTAATATTAATTCATTTCTTAATCCTGACCTGCTGTTTCTACTGCTATGAATGAATTTAGTCTAAGCAGGCATAATTAAGCATCAGCCTAAACTGATTTTAAACAGCTTATGGTAGGTAACCAGCAACAGCGTCTGGTGGGTGAGGCAAACAATCCAGGACGGATTTAAAGACAAATCATGTGCCAGTAGTTTGAGCTCCCTTCTGTAGTTATATGATTATGCCTAAAATTACAGAAAGATGGTTACATTTAAAATGCTCTTTCATTGTGTTTCTTCTAGCAGTTCTCAAACTGTGGCCGTGTCCTCCTGGGCGGCTGCAGGTGAATGCTAAGGGGGCTGCAGAAAAATCTCAGAAGTTGTATCTCTACTTACTAAGTGTTAATTTTGTCAATTTATGAAATCTGCTTCGGCCAAATCTTTCCACAAAGTGGACTTTAGACTTAAAATGTTGGAGATCTGCTCCTGTAGGGGTCCACTTGTGAGTAGTGAGTAGTGGCCGACAATGGCCTGCCTGAACAGGGCCAGTAATTTTGCTCACTGGCAAATGAATGGCCCCTCAATGCCCTGTGCACGCAGCCCTATCTCAAAAGGGCTAGCTAAAAGTGAGTTTTGAGTAGGGTTGCTAGCTGAGCTGTATTTGGGGAAGTAATTAACCCTTACTTGGAAAAAAACAGCTTGACCAGCACAAGCGTGTTAAGCTAGTTGAGATGGTAGGCCAGCTTAGCTGGTTGCCCAGCATAGGGTATGTTTTTGTCTGAGTTAGATGGTTTATTTGGTCTACCATCCTGATCTACCATCAACCTAGCTAAGACTAGTCAACATAAGATATAATCCCAACCCTTTAATTTTCCTAACATTAATGTGAGTTACCTCACCAACACTTTATCTAGCAAGTTAACCCTGGCCAACCACTTTCATCCACCAAAGTGGAAGTCAAATAGGATATGCCCAGTCAGGAGTTGAGAAGGGTCTGGCTGCAGACATGCACTCTCAGCCTGACATGCACCGCCGGCCTATTAGTGATGTCAGTGCACGCTCTGCCATGACAGTGTTTTTGTCGTTTTTAAGAACAAAACCAGCGAACCACATATTATTGGGCAACAAGAGTTACACTGAACATTGTCTTACTGATAATAAGGTAATTAAATATGGAAACTTTCAAAATAAAACCACAACGACAAGACATGAATGTCGGGTTTATTCGCAGAAAAAACAAAGCCATGCTGAAAATTAGAGCCGTTAGGAATAAAACCTGATGGTTTTGCTACCTAACGGGAATTGGCTTGATGATTGCCATTGGAGACCAGTAAGAAACAAATAAATGTATCTGGAATCAGTCCCAAAACATCTGATTAAATTATCTGAATCCTTTACACTGTGATATCAACTCATTGGAGAAAAAAAATAAAAAAACACCATTAGCGGCTACTGAAAACCACCAGGAACCAACAGATACTTTTAATGGGTTCTATGACTTTTTTCAACAGGGAGGCAAATTCAGTGGAATTCTCTAGCTGTGTTATGGCCGGAAAATGGAATAATGATGATGATATCACTAAGCAGAAGCAGCCAAAAGTTACCGTGCCGTTGGGCTGCTTTTGCCATTGTGGCAGAGAGTACATGTGCACGTGACGTCACTGGGGCTGAGAGTGCACCTGTCTGAGAGTGCATGTCTGCAGCCAGACTCTATTGCAGGAGTTAGGTCTGCTGGATACTACTTAATAGTTAGTTCAAAGGTTAACTTTATTTTAGTATTTTTCGGTTGCGCACAGCTTCCCTCTTAGCACTGGATAAACAGCAAAGAAATATCTTTTTTGCCATTCCCAAAATGCTCAGTGGCCATCCATATATTTATAGCGGAAACTGTCACTGCCATGGCATTGGTAGAGGCATCTGCTTAGCACTGCTAGCATAGAAACACACTGCAGCAAGCCAATGAGAAAGCTGAGCTCATTCCACCCATGGAGCACTATACTACCTTCAGGCTGCAGCTGTTTCTTGGGCACCACAGCCATGGAGGAGGGAATAGACATGGTGGTGAGGCGGAAGCCAGCAGGTAGCGTCTCGATGGAGCCAGGCATCATGCCCAGCCCCTGGCCCTCCCGCGGCCTGAAGCGCTTCCTCCATGACGGGGACCTCCGGAAAGACTTATCATCACTCTGTTAAGAAAGTTTTGCAAACTGGTAAACATACCCATTGACTACAAAGAACAACACAGCACTGAGTGTGCTTCAGTGAAGACATTTGATTTATACGAAACCATTCACCAGTATTACATGTGGACACTGGTAAAGTAGGTGGTCCATTGAGTGTTTCACACTACAGTATAGAAAGTTATTACCAGTGATGCTTGGCATGCACCTGTGACTGCAAATACTGCTCTTCTACTGACCGGGTTAACCCTACCTTACCTAATGTGTCTTTGGTGATTTATGGAGAGCCTTTGGTGATGCATTCTTTAACTCATTAGAATCTAAGAATCTGCTAGAGTTGTTGGTAGTGTGCATATCCATGTTAGGCAGAGTAAAATGAATGTTACTTGCATGCTACCGTGTTTTCTGTCTCTGTAAAAAAGCTGCATCATCCAGTCTTTATTGTTTGATGCACTAGGATAGTTTCTAAGTATCCACACACATTCAGAATGGAATTTAGGTCCTTAAGAATGATTAATGATTTGTTTATGCCCTTCTTGATTGTCAAATTAAATGTATCCAGATAGCAAGAGTGTAGAGACCCACTGTTGGCCCTATGATGGAAAGGCTAGCAGCCCACTGGCTTTCTGCTCAGCGTTTTCCGGGAGGCCCACAGGTATTTAAGCAGAGTGTTAAACAAAATAGAAGAGAACATTAAAAACTAGTTAGACTTTGTATGCAGGACAATCTGGGTGGTCTGAAGGTAGACCAGCAGTGGCAAACAGTCAACCTTTTCAAGCCAGTGGAACGATACATGCTTGCTATCTGGGTAATGACAGCAATCATGTTATTAAAAATGAAGAGTAGATTAAAATAGTGCTTTATTGCATTGTCATTAAAAGGTTAAGAGCCTTGAATTTCTTTCTAAAGCAATTCAGGCTGGACTTTAATGGCACCCACTTACCTCCTCCAGACGCCTGTCAGTCCCCAAGGCCAAGAGATTGTTGAACTCCCGTTCCAGGATCTGCCTGGCCTGAGCAATTAATAAGAAATACAAGAGTTAGAAAGACTATGAACATAAACGTGTTTGAGCTAACTACTGACCTGTTTTGCATAGCATCCCAGTATATTACAAGTGAATTTAGACTGCTTTTTGTTGTAAGGAAAAGAGCAAGCTCCTTGTTCATCACTGAAAAAAGTGATGCATTGAATTAACTTGAGTCAAACAGTACAAAGAGAAGACATTTAAAGTTTTACCTACAAATTTTACCTACAGACTCATTCTGAAATTGATGCCTGCAACATTTAAGAACTGTATGAAATTTTCAAGAAACATCTTAAACTGGTGAAGCAATCACGCTTGGGTATAAAAGGAGCATTCAGAAAATGCCTAGCTCTTAACGAGCAAGGATGGGTCAAGGGTGGCTACTTTGTGTCAGTGAGTAGTCCTACAGTTTAAGAACAACATACGACAGTGCCTAATATTATCAAAAGATACAAGGAATGTGAGAAACTTTTGTGCATAAAAGGCAAGCCCGAAAACCACGACTGAATGACCTTCAATCACTCAGATGGCACTGCATTAAAAACTGTTAGGCTTCTTTGACGCATATCACTACATGGGTTTGGAAATACTTTGGCAAACCATTGTCAATAAATGCTACATCCACTAAGTTAAGATTCTACTATGCACATTGGAAGACATACGTCAACAACGTCCAGAAATGCCGCCGATTTCTCTGGGTCACCTGCAATGGACTGATGCACAAACATGTAAAATGTTCTGATGAGTCAACCTTTCAGACTGCTAATGGACATAATGGAGGTTGTGTTGTGGGCTAAAGAAGAAAATGAGCATCCAGATTGTTACCAGTGTAAAGTCTAAAAGCCAGGTCTGTCATTGTATGGGGTGTATTAGTGCCCATGGCGTGGGTTTGCAGCACTGCCTTCTAGATGACGTCTTTGTCAGGGACGTCCATGCTTATTTCATCATGACAATGTTCAGCCACATTCTGCACATGTTCAACACAGTGGCTCCTGTGCCAACTTTTTGGAATGTATTGCAGGCATCAAATTTATGTATATATTTACAGAAATTATAACAAAATTCATGAGGTAAAACACCAAATATTCTGTTTTTGTACTGTTTTGATTTTAATATAGGTCAAACAGTATTTATTAATGAATGCTTTTTGTTTATAGTGTATTCATGTTACTGTTATTTTCTGTTTAATTAGCATTTCATACCATCCCAAATTTTTTTAGAGTTGAGGTTTATAATATATCCATGTGAAAATTAGGTAGACTTTAGAAAAGGGAAATCACTGCATCACTTTTTAGTGTGCTTGCATTGACCTGACTGTCCTTTACCTGGGTGTTCTGCATGGGTATCTGCAGGATGAGTGCAAGGCTGCTGAAGTCGAAGGTTTCGTCCAGAGCAATTAGGGCTCCGTGTACGCCACTCTCCAGCAGGTTATTGCTGTACTCCTTCAGCCCGATGGTCTGCACCCAGTGCATCACATGGTCATTGGTCCACACCAAAGTGTCTGTTGAGGGTTAGAAGCATATTTGATCTACTTTTGCCTTCAGTGGATATAATATAATGCTTGGGAGTTTATTGCAGCCAATTATTTCAACTGGAATCTATAAATTACTTGTGCGATTTAGCCTTTTATGGAGAAATTACTATTGAAGGGCTCATATCATAAAAAAAACTCACTTTACTAAGTTGAGTTACAATTTTCAGAGATACAGGCTTATTCATCATTACTTAACGATGGCTGTGATATTAGGCTATAAATAAAAAATCATGCTACATCATGTAATGCTAGTTAAAAGCAGAACACAGCCAAACCACACCCCCATACAAACACAATTCCGCAAGTCACCACTTTGATTTGAAAGACTGAAGCACTGAAGTTTGTGAAAGATATTAAATGGAAAACCATTTTTAAACAAAGAAAAAATCAAGTCGCTTTTATATACCACATTTAAAGGTCAAGATGCCGCACAATAATATCAACTAAAAAGTTACCAACAGTTACTGACGGCAAGACAGAACAAACCAAGACTGGACAGATGACTGAACACATTAAAAGGACTCAAATGCCTCAGAAAATAAAAGGGTTTTTAAAATGTGACTCTATTGTGGTGGATTCCTTTATGAAAAGTAGAAGAGAGTTCCAAAGTCTTGCAGCTACAGAAGAGGCCTGATAACCTCTAAACCTCATCTGAGAACGTGGAATGTCTAAGAGCAACTGAAGGAAGATCATAGTTGTCGTGAGGTGGAGTGGAAGCAGAGAAGGTTAGCGATATAATTTAGAGCCAAGCCACGCAAAGCTTTAAAAACGAATCATAAAATCTTAAATTCAACTCTGTATTTGACTGGTAACCAGTGCCGTGATGCAAGTACACGGGTAATGCTCTCCCTTTTCTTGGTACCAGTCAGGACCAGCTGCATACGTGAAAAGCTTGACTGACATTTCTAAGTACAGCAAGTTGCAATGATTGACACAAGAGGAAATATGAGAGCATGAACAACTGTTTCCAGGTCCTTAAAAAACAGGATGCTTTCAGGTTTTGCTCTACTTCCGAGTTTGCTTCTCAAACTTAAGGGCAGAATCAAAGATAACACCAAGATTTTTTACATGGCTTTGTACATTAGACAATAATGGCCCCAGATTATTGGCCATAGCTCTGGCTGAATCATGATTTCCGAAAGTAATAATCTCTGTTTTGAAAGTTCTTAGACATCCAGCACTTTATGCAGAGTACCATTTTCACTCAGTTTAAGTGGGAGATCGAGCTGTGGGTCATCTGCATTTTGTACTTCTAAAAGATTACCAAGGAGAGCATGTATAAAGAGAACAAAATAGGCCTATTACCCCACAAGTAATAGGCGCTGAGGAGGAGGAAAAATGACTTCTACTTTCCAGATAAGAGGCAAATCACTTCAGAGCAGTACCCTGAATGTCAACACCACACCACAGAAATGGCCAAATACACATTTATTTGTTCTGCAGTTTTTACTGATGAACAACATTCAGGTGAAGAAGTTAAATTTGTCCCCATTAAGCCATCACAGAGCGAGGTATTTTGGAGATGAAGATAGATTGAAGGCTAGCTAATCAGTTTTGCTGACTTTTTTGATAGTGACAGTCATGAATCTATATGAATTTAGTATAAAACATAAAAATACCTCGACGAGTCATCAATTTTGAATGAGATTTATGTTCACCTATGGAATTAAACCTCGACTACTAAATTAGCAGCAGAATATGAACATGCCAATCCATTCAGTAAACCAGCTATAATGACTATGAAAACAAATCGTTAAACAAAGATTTTAAAAGATTCACTTCATAAACGTCTGTATAATTGCTGCTATCTAGGAAAGAAAAAATCCAGTCAGACTCATCCGTCTCCTTATCTGACATAATATTACAGTACTGTCTGTCCCTCTGCATTTTTGGGACGCCCATCATAAAATGGGAAGTATCAATGTGTAACTACATGTTACAAAATTGAAAACTGGACTATTTTGATTAAAACAAACAAACATACACATGATTAATTATGAAAAATAAATTATTTTGGTTTTAAGGATAGAATTGAGAACAAGCACTTCAGTGTCTTTCCGAAGCATAGAGTATTCAAGTCTAGTTGATGCTGTTTTTGAAGTAGACACAATAAATGGTGGAGATCATTTACATATACCAGTCTTAAAGGCACAGTAACAAAAACAGCCTGTTTAATTCTAAGCATGGAAAATTGGCATGTAAAGAAGGATAATTACTGTTTTTGTTACATAAACCCACATAAATGTTATAAGTAGACCTCAAATACAAATATAATGTAGGACATGGCCCCTTTAATCCAGGGACAAGACTTCCTTTGTGCATAAAAACTACCCCACAGACTTCATACAAGTTTACATTAATTAAAACCAAAATCCAGTATTGAGATTCCACTGGTAGGGGCGTTCAGTCTTATCCACACAGGGCTGGTGTGGCTGCAGGTTTTCATTACACTTATTTAATCAGTTGGTCTCAGTCTTCAACAATTGGTCATGTGTAATCTGCTTTGTAATGAAAACCCACAGTCATACCGGCCCTTTGCAGACAGGAATAGACAACCCTGATATACTGTATATAGCTACAAATAACATTTAGCACAGAAACAAAATGCAACCTTTAGGAGAACAGCTTACTGGTTGTCATAGCCTACTGCATTTTCAAGATGCAAGCAATAATTTTTTTTTTTCAAAAATAATACTTGGCTAGTCTATTAACAGCAAATCAAGAACGCTATAAAACGAACAGATCAATAAATGCATTTTCAGAAAGAGTGGACCATGTGCGGTCAGTAAGAAATATCATTTGAAAAGTATTAGACTCTTAATAAAAGTATGAAAACCACTGCTTTATAGTACAGCAGCTGGTCAGTAAAATGAGATTATATGCACCCACAGTAACATACTGTCAGCAACACGTGTACATTCCTATTGATCTTTTCGCACAGCTGGCCAGGCAGCTTTAAAGAACAAAGCATGAAAATACGTGTGTGCCTGAGTTTGTGTATCTGATCTAAGTATGTGTGTGCGCGCATGTGTGTGGTATATGTTGATAGCGAGGCACATGAAAGGCTGTGGCAGCTGTGTCAAGTTCATGTGTCACGCTCAAGTTCAGCAGGGCGCCGGGCCTTTAAATGGATTTGACACTACAAGCCTCAGCTGTTGACCTTCCTGCCTTCCATATGCACTGGCTGCTCTAGAGCCACTAGATGATGCTGTTTCCCTAGAGAATTCAGCAGCCACCTCTTAGTATAACAAGTAGACTCACTGTTCCCAGGGCAACCCAGTGATGGTGAGGGGGTGCATCTTCATTTACTTTCATTTCATGAAAATAATATTTCAAGAGGTTCCTCTTTATCAAAAATAAACCCCTCTAAGAAAAAGAAAAAGGTACGGGTACGTTTTTGTTTGTCAAGATACAATGTAAATGTACCCTCCGAGGTACAACTATGATCTTAAGGACCAACTGTTTACCTTAAACAGGTCTTAAATGTACACTACTTGTCTTTCCCAGAAAAAAGGGGCATATTCGTACCTTTTCATAAACCAATGTTTTAAAGGGTCAAGACAGAGTGGTAGCAGTCACTACAACTTAAAAAATCAAATTGCACAACAAAATTGGTACAATTATGTTTCCTTACTAAAGATACTGAAGACGTACCCTTTAGTGTACCAGCCCAGTGATGTGAGGGACCAGCCCAGTCAGAGTTTAGTGCCTTTTATGTGGTGCCTTTTTTTATGAGTGTGGTGTATATACAGTAGAATAGCAAAGTCAAAATAAGTTCAAATAATTGTCTTCCATCAGCTGCAAGCTACTGTTGTGTGGAATATAGCTAGCTTAAGAGCAGTTACACTACATGGGCAAAAATATGTTAACATCCCTTGTAATTTGTGGTTTCTGCTATTTCAGCAACATCCATTGCTAACAGGTGTAGAAAGTATATAAAGCCATAAAGAAACAGTGGCAGTAGAATGGGCACTAAAAGGTTTAGTGACATTCAACTTGGCACTGCCATAAGCAGGGCTGTTTCTTGCTGTATAGGCAGTTATAATAAGTGGTACGATAAGCAGTGTAGGTAGTTGTTTAGGGCCCCTGGGCCACAAGCTTTTCTTCTTTTTTTTTAATATCACTCGTGTCATTCACAATATTGCTCGAAGAATATCTTATAAACATTGATGACTCTGCTTTCAATTTTTTTAAAAGTAGAAATGATGCCCATGGCACATTATAATTTACTTTATTATTTATATATATATTATTTATTTACAGCAAATTTATTTAATATTTATTTATAGCAAACAAATTAGTCATTTAAAGTTCAGATGTCTACTTCCCTTTATATAGTTAATTCATGTTTTAATGTGTTTACCTTGGCATTTGCTAAACTTTTGGCCTAATAAAAATGAACTGAAGATTAATTCTAGAGGTGGAGCCAGTAGGTACATTATAAATGTAGTGTAGCCCTGCCACTCATTTATTTATTTATTCTTGCAGATAAAATAATATGCTTACGGTATGTGGGGCCTCTTCTACTAGGATGTCACTTAGGTCCCCCAAATGTTCAGAAATAGCTCTGGTCATAAGATGCTTTCCAACAAGAGGGTTTGTCAAATTTCTGCACCGTTAGAGCTGCCCCGGTCAACTGTAAGTGCTGTTATTATGAAGTGGAAATATTAAGGAGCAACAAAAGTTCAGGTGCAAAGCCACACAAGCTCATAGAACAAGACTGTTGAGTGCTGAAAGGCGTAGCACTTAAAAAACTCACTACAAATTTCTAAACTGCCTCTGGAAGCAACATCGGCACAAGACGTGTTCAGCAAGAGATTCATGGGCTGAGTTTCCATGGCCGAGCAGCTGCACACAAGCCTAAGATCACTAAGCTCACTAAGTGAAGCTGGAGTGGTGTAAAGCTTCAACTGAACGCTGGAGCAGTGGAAACATGTTCACAGGAGTGATGAATCATGCTGGCAGTCTGATGGATGAATCTGGGTTTAGAGGGTGCCAACTATAAATTTTGGTAGAGGAGGAATAATGGTCTGGGATGAATTGGAACACTGACTCTGAGTCAGGTCTTATAGCCTTACACCAGTGCTGAACTTCACTAATGCTCTCGCAAGTCCACATTAATACACCATCATCTTGGATTGAGACACATACTGATGTGACATTTGGGTGTCCACACACTTTTGGCCATCTAGTGTTGCAGCTAGGTTCAGAAAACTGATAAACAGAAAGAAATGTCAAGCGTATGCACGCTGGACTGGCAGTGCTATAGAGTTCCCACAATGTTATTGTTGAATTAGTGCAGGGTTACCTTTAATTTCATTTTGGCACTCCTCTCTCCTTCTTTCCAGCTCCTTCCTGTCATAGTTGAGCCTCTTCAAGCACATGATGCCGTACTGTAAACTGGCTCTGTTTTAAATCAAAATACAGTCAGACATTTAGACCTTATCTTACAGGTGTGAATGGTTTGAATTTTAAAGTTGATAGAAAATGCCATTTGTCAGCATGTTGCTGATCAGACAACAGCATTCCAAAACAATTAAACTCAATTGTATGCTGAGGTCAGCGGCTCACTGCTCAAATGCAAATGACTGGGTGTGTGGTGTGTATATAATGTTTCTCAGACCCACCTGTGAAAGCTATCCACCATTTTGAGATGTGTGCGGAGATCCTTCTTAGTGAGGTGGTCCAGCATGCGAGCGTCCACCAGGCACTCCATGAAGTAGCTTCGATACTGGGGCAAGCCCAGGCTAGGCAGCCACTCGTTCCCAATCCACTCGTGATTCATATCTCCATATGCAAGCGTCTGAGGGCAACAAAGGATTACAGTCTTTTCTTTGTGGTTTGAATTTTTTCACTCGTTTACTTTGCTGAAGGAAGTTGTGCATTGAATGTACTTCATTCAGATGTGTACACTATTTCTGCATTAATCAGTCTCGTAAGGCCAGGATGGGATCTCGTAAAGAGAATGTCTGGGGACAGACATGTGAAATTTTGGGCTAAATGTGTGGGAAACATAGACTTATTAGGGTGGGAATAAACTTGATAGTGAAATTTTAAAGCAATTTAAGTCAGAGCTCAAGGTAGAGGCAATGTTGAGCTCAGTCGTTGGCCCATGGACGTAACGTAAGTTAGCAGCTTGTAAACAGCTGGCCAAGATTGAAAACTAAACATTTACCAGATTTAGTACATGTATACTGTCTTCAAACAGAGTATTATAATTCAGTGAAAGTGTTTACATGCACACCAATAAAATAATCATTATAAAACAATCATAATTATGATTTCAGGAGTTATCTGATCATTTAAGTGGTCATGTAAACAGCTTACTCCGATTTCCTGGATCCAATTAAGGCTGTTATCAGATTACTAGAAATCTGATTAAGAGAGCTGTATTTTAGCTCAGTAATTTTTCAGTGCACATGTACCCATACTCTGATTTCTTTCATTTTTCTAGTCTGTACAAAAACAGAGCGCTGCCCCAGAAACAGCAAGTAGCGTTTAACACAGCACCCGCAGAATGGCTACAAAATACTTTTGGAGCAACGCTGAAACTAACAACATCATTGAAGAAATTAAGAATTTGAATATCTTCATATTCTAGATGATATATATTCACATTTTCTGGTAAAGTGATTTAAAAAAAAGCCACAGCATAATGTTCGAGTTTTAAATTATGTTTACATCATGTATTTATCTGTGAGTTTACAGGCGGGTCGCAAGGCAGAAATGAGATTACTGTGTGACTCATATAGACCCGGAGTTTTCCGATTATCTGATTCCACAAATGCATGTAAATGCATTGAAAAACATACTAACAAAATCTGATTTTCTGCAGTTATTGGATTATTAATTGCATGTAAGCGTACTCAATTTGTGCAACAAGCACCTTGCTGACAAAACTAAATAGAACGGTGTTCCTGAAACATTCATTTGCAGAATGAACATCAGCTAATGCTAGCTAGCTTGTTTTTTTAGCTAAGTTGTTTTGCTTGTGTTGCTGGTTGTACTCCGGACATCAAAAGAGCCCAGACTAGAGAAATCAGAGGTGAGTTTTAGATAGGGCGCCCCCTTATTAGTGGTTACAGTCCAGCCACAAATGTTTAACAAGTTTCCCAGACGTGTATTCTTGTTACAAGAGCAGGTCTGGGCCTGCAAAACTCACCACTAATCAGCATATCACAATGCAATTACAACCAAAAGTAAGTAAACAGAAAGACAAAACAGGGTTAATGTAGGGCATCTTTTTTCATGCAGACAATATGTACACACTTGAATCAAGTAAATTGAACACATTATTTTTTTCAGTGTGTGATTTTAACATTTGTAACACACATTAGTAGCTTAGCAGTAAAAGTAGTTACTAAAAACTATTGATGATAACAAAGTGAAGCTACTTTCTTAACTGCTGAGGTCCTGTTATTTAACCTCAAATGAAAAACACCACTACTCGTTTTACCATTTTAGAGTCGGGCTGGGCAATATAGCAAAAATATAACATTGCATTATTTCAAAACATTTTATGATGTGCATTACAATATCTAGTTTTTTTCTGAGGTTTGATATGTCAGAGCAGACAAAATAGAAACGTTAATGCCACATTTAAAAACATGATCAAAAACTATGAATACAATAATTCTTTCAATGTTTCGTACACTGCACTACACTTAATCCAATTAAACAGGCCTAATTATGTTTACAATGCTTTTGATCAGTGTTCTTTAAGTGATTTATACTGTGATGGAGTATAAATAGTAAACATGTTTAATTTATTATTTTGAAAAAATTCATCATGCTCATTCACATTCATAGCCTGTTGCTGCTGCACTTTGTCGTGTATAGTGCATTTTTGCCAGCTTTAGTAGTAATATATGATTTTTATTTGAGCTATTTATAAATAATTTCAAACACTGACAACATATTCAAGCAATTCTTTTCTGCAACAGGCTAAAATGACTATTTTTCTTTTCTTTATGCCCCACAGATCCAGGAGGCATGTCAGAATAAATGAGCAAGGACACAGAGTGGCACTGCAAGGCTTTCTCTTGGTTAATGATCTGCTGTGGCAGCCAGAAGGAGACACAGTCTCTCTCTCTCTCTCTCTCTCTCTCTCTCTCTCTCTCTCTCTCTCTCTCTATCTCTCTCTATCTCTTTCGTTCTCTCTCTCTCTCTCTCACCTGTGCCCAGCTCCCCTCCTCGTTCTCCTATCCGTCAAATCCCAGTGTGACAGCGTGTTAATGCATCAACAGAGACAGAGTAAGTCCAGAGCATTTTCAAGCAGAGCGCAGTTAGCTGAGTACTCTACTGCCAGCCTTAAGAAGCACAGAAGCTGTGCAATGCCAGCGGCAAACAGAGATTTATCAGATAAACCACACGAAAAGATATGACAGTTAGCACCTCTCCTCAGGCTTAAAGTTTGTAAAGCCTGATAAGTGCTGATATTCAATATATCATCACTGTCAAATCAAAACTTACTGTTTAAAAAAAAACACCAGCTGCTTTTTACACTGTGCGACTATGACAAATATGACAGGGTACTTTATTACTGTATCAATGTACAATTTCGTTAAGATAGATTTAGCAGACCTGATACTTAAAGAATTGTATTATATATGTATATTGCATAGATCATTTGTAAACAATATTTCTATATTACTGCTGTCAAAAACCTAATAAATGATATAAGTATAATTTTATAGGTGACTAACTTCACATTATGGGTTTACTTAATATTATGGCATACATTCCAGTGAAAGGAAAATCTATTCCAGGACTTAAGCTTAATCTCTGTCTGGAATCTGGAAAACAACTCTTAATATAAGAAATGGCCCTTAAATAGCTTGATTTTCCAAGATTTCAATTCAGCATGAAATTTTCACTCAATGCAAACGGCAGCTGGTGTTTTAATTATGTATAAAAACAAACAATGTTACAAAGTGTTTTAATGACTGATGTTTATCCTTTTTCATTGAAAGTCACATAAAAGACTGTTCAAACTGCACTACTAAAGAAACTTTGATTTTAAATGTAAATTTTTTTTTTACTTTTAATGTTCAAATTATATTGAATATTAGGTCACAATAGCAATTATAATTAATAGATAATTAGTAGATCAGCTGTTAATTACAGGGTGGAAAATACACTGAACTTGTACTGTTACTCAGTTATTACTTACTTATTTTATTAAGTGTTACAAATCTCAACAGTCAGGAGATTATTCTCCTTTTTCTTGCCAGTTGAAATCCTTTGCATTTGTGCATTATTTTTTTTATTAAAACATCCAACTGAATTATATATCAGTGTAAAATGAAACTTCCCATAATTATAGTTTTTGTGCGAGGATTAGTACCGCATTAGTCAACGCACTACACATCACCAATGAAAAGTTAAATTTGCTGGAACACCAAATACCTTTTACTTTCACTCATGCAATACAGTGCAAAAGTCAGAGACCCTCTTTTATTTACTAAACCAATACCAAAAATGTTGGGATAGCATGTGACATGCAAATAAAAGCAAAAAGCAGTGATATGTAAATCAATTTTGAATGAAAGCAGTACAAAGACAAGATATGTAATGTTTTATCTTATCAACTTCATTGCTTTCTGTAAATATACGCTCATTCTGAAGTTGATCTCTGCAAAATGTTTCAAAAAAGTTGGGACAGGAGCGTAAGGATGTAATCATGCTCCAGTTTTTAAGTAGCAGGAAAGTCTGGGTCATTTATGAGCAAGGAAGGGTCGAGACTCACCACTTTGCCAAAAAACGCATCAGCAAATAATCCAACTGTATAAGAACAACATTCTTAAACAAGTGTTTAGATATTTCACCCTTTGCAGTGCATAATATCATCAAAAGAGATTTGGAAATATGTCTGTATATAAAAAACAAGGCCAAAAACCAAATCACAACTAAATGCTCATGACCTTCAATCCCAAAAAAACTTTGACAAACTGTTGTCAATAAACACTGTTCGTCGCTGCATCTACAAATGCAAGTTAAGACTGTTCTATGCTAAGTGGAAGTCATATATCAACAGCATCCAGAAATGCTGCTGACTTCTCTGGGTTTGAGCTTATCTGAAATAGACTGATGCACAGTGGAGTCAAACTTTCAGATTATTTAAGGAAATAATGAATGGAATTAATGTTTTGTTCACCAGGCTAAAAAGGCAAAGAAGCATTCAGACTGTTACCAGTTTAAAGTTCAAGAGTATACTGGGTATACTGGTGCCAATGGACCCCCCCACGACCCAGAAGGATAAGCGGCTTAGAAGATGTGTGTGTGTGTGTGTGTGTGTGTGTGTGTGTGCGTGTGGTGCCAATGGCTTGGTTAACTTGCACATCTGTGAGGGCCACCATTAATGCCAAAATATACATATTTTGGAGCACCATATGCTGCATTTGAAATACTATCTTTTTCTGGGACGTCAATGCTTATTTCAACATCACAACGTCAAGAAACAATCTGCACGTGTTACAACAACATGGCTGCATAATCAGAGAGCGTGGGTGCTGCTGAAAATGTGGTGCATTATTAAGTGCAAAAAGACTTGTAAAACTGAGGGGAAAAAAATGCTCTCAAACGTGGATCAGTTTGTGTCCTCAGTCTCCAAACGACATGCTATTAAAAGGAAAGGTGATGTAACACAGTGGTAAACATGCTCCTGTCTCAATTCTTTTGGAATGTATTGTAGGCATCACATTTGGAATGAGGATATATTCTAAAAAAACAAGATAAAACATCAAATATCATGTTTTTGTGGTGTTTTCTACGGAGCCCCACTGGTGACATCCTGTATAAATGAAAATAATGCATGGCCACGGCTTAGTAAGGCATGGGAATGAGATAATTAAGTCGAGGCCACCACTTAGTAAGACATGGGAACAAGATCATGCCTTACTTAGTCATGGTCATGCATTAGGATCTCGTTCCTGTGCCTTACTAAGTGGTGGCCACGACTTAATTATCTCATTCCCACGTCCTACTAAGTCGTGACCACGCATTAGGATCTCGTTCCCACGCATTAATAAGGCATGGCCACGCATTACTTTTATTTATATGGGATGTCACAAGTAGTGTTGTGTAGTGTTGAATTCTATACAGACATAACAGAATTTACTAATCACTGCTTTCTTCATTTTCAGGAGATATTTCTGAGGAGATTTAATGTAAGATAATCTACTTGCATAAAGAAGAGGAAGAGGTCATTTGAATAACATAAGTGAAAAACAGGGCTTTCCAAAACTGCCCGTTCAGATAAACAGTACTTAAAGCTTTCATCTTTGAGATAGAGGAGAAAATCAAGCTCCACTCTTACTTCAGATCTGATAAAGTCCACAGGAGTTTTTGTCCATTTTTCCAAGTTGAGTTGAAGAAAACTCAACACTATCACTGAATGTGTTTGGGTGCTTGGATCATGAGAAGCAGAAAATGCAGCCAACTCCTAAGACTGAATTTTGGATGTGTGGAAAAATATCCGGAATAGATGATGTAATAAAGGCAAAGGATGAAAAATGTGACTTTTTATTTGCTTGTTGAGGCTTCTGTTTAAATTTCTGTTAAATATATGTTTTCTGCTTTTTTTGGAAAATGAATAATTTGTACTTAACGTACACACGTGAACAATTTTGACAAATGAAGGCTCGCTCTGACTTTTGCACTGTGCTGTAGATACTTTTTTTGCTTTCACTAAAGTACATTTTTGGTTCCATACTTCCACTTTTAATCGAGTAAGACTTTGACAAATTACTCTTTTTAAGTACAGCTTTGCTGTACTGGTTCCACCCCTGGCTAAATAACACACACAGCGCAGACGACCACAAGCTTGCATCAAGTAGAACACAATATCACAACAACAGGGCTGGTTTCCCAGATCCAGATTAAGTCTAAGATGATTTTTAGTGGAACATTCCACACTGAAAAAGTAATGCATTGCATTAACTGGATTCAAATGTGTGCATCACCCACACAAAAAAGTATGGCACCAACATAATTTTAGCTTTAATTATTCAGCAGTAATTATTAATAAAATACATTCTATTCATGTGGAAACGATGCACACATTAGAATTAGGTAATCACTTTTTCAGTGCAGTGTCACTCACTTAAAGCCTAACCTTTGTTTGGAAAACCAGCCTAAAAGCACAGTCACAGGCATGCCTGGTGCAGGTTTGGGGGTTTGGTTGATTGGGGGGTGGGGTGGGGTGGGGTGGGGGCGATAAGAAAGGGCAGTGGGGGGCTACGGAAGCATGGCATATGCTTGGCTCTGCAGGGGCAGGGGTGCCACCCAGATGGACTAACCGCTTTGGTGGAGGCTGCCATGTTCTCCATCTCCTCGTGAGTCACCCACACATTTCCGGAGGACTGCGCAGAGAGGGAGAGCACACACACACATACAAATACACACAGACGCATACACACAGATCATTGGTCATCCACAGTGAGAAGGAGTGTGATGGGTTCTATATGGGGAAAGGGTTTTTTTTTGCTGAACCCTGATTATTCCAGCTCAGCACCATGTCTACCCCCTCATACCACATTCAAAACAATTAACCTTAAATCTGAAATCAACCAAGTTGAGCTGAGTTTGTACTGGTTTAGTTTTGAATGTAAACATTTCTATGCAGACAAACCTTTAGAATTCAAGAGAATTTTCATTTTGCTATACTATTCAAAGTAAATATGTAATTCCATATTTAAATTTACTATAGTATACATATGCCAGCCAATTCATTACACCTACCTTGTATCTACACTCTTTGTTAATTTTATCTTGCCATATACGTGCACTTCATAGTTCAACAATTACAGACTGTAGCCCATCTGTTTCTCTGCATGCTCCTTTTACCTTGTTCTTCAATGGTCAGGACCTCCACAGGACCACCACAGAGCAGGTATTATTTGGGTGTTGGATCATTCTCAGTACTGCAGTGACACTGACATGGTGGTGGTGTGGTTGTCCTGGTATGAGTGGATTAGACACAGCAGTGCTGCTGGAGCTTTTAGACACTGTGTTCACTTACTGTCAGAACTATTAGATGCATCTACCTTGGTCCACTTTGTAGATGTAAAGTCAGAGACAACAGCTCATCTGTTGCTGCTCACTTTGTGTTAGACATCCTTTAGCTCTTCATCAGTGGTCACAGGACTGGATATTTTTGGTTGGTGGACTATTCTCAGTGCAGCATTGAGACTGAGGTGTTTAAAAACTCCAGCAGCACTGCTGTGTCTGATCCACTTGTACGCATCACACAAACATGCCACCACCACGTCAGTGTCACTATGGTGTTGAGAATGATCCACCACCCAAATAACGCCTGCCCTGTGGTGGTCCTGTGGGGGTCCTGATTATTACAGGACAGGGTAAAAGGGGTCTAGCAGAGAAGCAGATGGACTACAGTCTGTTGTAGAACTACAAAGTGCACCTACATGGTAAGTGGAGCTGAGTGTAGAAAAAGGAGGTGTACTTAATAAACTTTTAAACTTCTGTTCAAACGTTTGGAATCACTGTTCAAAGCTATGGAATCTTTTTTTTTCAATACTATGAAAAAAATAATATATGAACAAAATGATGCTATTATGATGCTACTTGTCCACAACTTTGTAGATTTCAAATAATTAGCAGGAAGCTGTTAGATGTGTCCAGAATAAACCACAGATGTTGTGCTGTCATTCTGTAGTCAGCGCATCATGCACACACATAAATACCCCAAACAAACCAGCAAGCTTTGTCAAGCGTGGAATTAGACTGCTTTGGCAGTAGTAAAGCTCAATAGGTGTAGCTGATGTTATTATTTAATAATGATGAAGTTTAATAGTAGACTTACTTTCATTCGTCGTCAGCGTACAAGAGTGTTGGCTTGCTATTGGCATGAATGTAGCAATGTTCATAGACCACGTAGGGCAAAGTGCATCAAGCTTGAAACATTTTTGTGTACCACAAAGCGTGAAAGCTACGATTTTCAAACCATCCAGAATGTATTGCATTCAATGCAAGAAATGCCTATAAGTAGATAATTACAATATATCATAATCTATATGTTAATATCAACTTCTAGTTCAACCTACATTTGTAGATTACTGTTCAATAAAATGACAGCAATTATTAATATAACAAATGACTTCAAACTTTTGTGGTGTACTTTATACAATGAATTACATTTACATTAAAATTAATCTGCACTGTTAAGAAAATGTGACAGGAATATAAAGGCTGACTAAAAGATAAGCAAGAGTGTAGGCACAACAATATCTTTAATAAAATTCAAGCTATAGTAAAATATCTTCTCTTCTACTTAGAAACACAAAGCTGTATTGATTGAAAGCTTGGAATATGTGCCGTAGTGGGCAAAAATCTTAGGCAGCCAAGAAAACTGTTTAGAACTGTTTGTCTCAGTGGTGTGTTTTTGCCAGTAAAAACACTACATAACATTGGAATAAATATAGATAAACACAAATGCAGTTAATACCAAGATTATTTTGTTACTAAAAAAGTTATTATATTGGCTAGAAGAATATAGTTAGAAGAACAGGTTTGGTTCCTGACTTCTTGCTGCACTTGAGGTCCACTTATACTGTTTGTGTGGTTCAATGTGCCTAAAAGTGTCCTTACATTTTCCAACCTCTCTTTATCCCTTACATTTAAAAAAGCTGATTTTGTTACTGTGAGTTTAAGACATATATATGTAGTGGACTATGTTCTGGCTGCTGTACATCTTGTCTCATTTAAAAAGCAGTCCAGGGTGAAACACTCCTTATAACTTCAGCACTAACAGACAGGGGCCAAAGTGTAAATGTGTTACGTTTTGTGACATCATTACAACAGTAAATTCAAATGAGTTGGCTTTGCAGCTTAGTTTCTACACATGGACTGTGTTTAACAGGGGATGAAAAGCATGTCTTAAAGTTCAGTAACATTTACATACCATTTAAAATGCTTATTTTATAAAATCAAGGTACATTTTGTTTTTCTATTATACTGGCCCATTCAAAATTGATTAGCTGAAGCAGGTGTTGGATGCTAACTGTAAACAGTGTGTGAAATACCCCCTTGTATTTGGGGGGGTCCCATGTTGGCTGGATACTCCAGTGTTGGCTGACTGCTAACTCACTCGCCATAGCAGCGCTGATGCTAGCTTCAATGGCAGGGAAGTGTTTGGTTTAACAGTTCTTCTTCTGGAAATACTCTTTTCTAGCTTGGTAAAGTGGTCTCGCACAGATTAACTGATATTTTGCACATCTCCTGTTGTGACTTCAGTTTGAAAAATGTGTAACAATTCACTCTTTCCACCATTTCTTATGAATTTGGGTGAGTTTTACAAGTTTTTCAGAGTTATTCTGGGCATAGATACAGTTGCTAGGCAATGAAGGACCAACTGAGTGAACCACTTTGCTACAGCACCACCCTAAGCAGGCCAGTGTTGCAGCTCTAGTTGGTTAAGAATATAAAAGACAGAACTTTGCCAATTGTGGGTGAAGCAGCATCACAAACAGCATAACGTCATAATAACTTCATTTGTCAGGGACCGCCCAGAACTATGAGACATTTAGTGGTCCAAAAGGTGAATTAGGGAGTCCTAGAACCCTCCAGGACCCCCTGAGATTTGCACCTTGACTATAAATAAAGGCCTTTCTTGAAGAGGAGTTTGGAAATGGTTGTCATGACAGATGCCATAATGTGTAATGTCAAGAAGCTGACATCACATAATAATTTTTGCTAAGTGTACTCTAGTTAGCTGACATAACATCAAACGTTATGACATCTGTCATGACAACAAAGGATAATGTCATGTTATTGTTACCGTTAGTTGTTATGAAAGATGTCATAATGTCTGATGTTATGACAGCCACACAGTACATCTAGCAAAAATTAGCAGGTGACATAAGCTGTCATGACATCAAACACTGTGGTATTTGTCATGACAATTACTGGTAATGGTTACACAACACTGTTATATTACTAAACATTAAGTAAATGTTAGTTCTGGTTATGTTAGTTTAGGTAAAGTGTTACCATGTACTGCTCATTTGTGTTTATTCTAATGTTAGTGTCTTTTTGAACAAATATATGTTTACTGTCACTCATGTAAATTAGTAGACTTGGACTAAGTTAAGTAAGTTAGAACATGTCAAGGGTGAGTGAGCGTGGCTTTAGTGTACAGACTGAGGGTTGAGGGGGCGTGGGCTCTTACAGTGCGTGAAGTGAGGGGTGCAGAGGGACTGGTCAATGACACCATCTCCTGGATGGCCAGCCTGAGCTTGAGCCGATGCAGCGGGTTGCTGATGCCAATCTCTCTCTGGATCTCTGTGTCGGACAGCGCAGACATGATGGCCCCGCTCTTCACGTTGGCGCGGCACGCTGCCACGTACCACGCCGGCATCCCCACCCATAGCTGCAGGACGTCAGAGAGGGGGCCGTCAGAGATAATCTTAGTCAACGGCATCGTCATCATCATCACAGACGCAGTGAAGCATTATCCTAATTACTGTCATCCTCATCAGTGTGATTACTGTAATTATAATCATCGAGATAATGGCTGAGTTACTGCATGGAGGCTGCAGGAGGCTGGGAGCGTGTATCTGTGTGTGTGTTTGACACTCTACCTCAAGCCAGGAGACCACTGTAGGGCCGTCCCACTGAGCAAATGGCAGGCCTTTCCTCCTGGCATCCTCCAGCAGCTCATGCCTGAGACAAGAAAAAGAGAAGTAATAGGGAAAAGCACTTCTACACCACTTCTCATTCTACACAAGACATCAGCCTGAACAAGTCTTATACTTACATAGCCTCGTCACTCAGGCCTACTTAACTTAAGGCACAGTTTCATAAGCTCATTCATTACCTTCTCCCCGCATTCCTGCATAAGACATACAATAGATTTGGGGCATTAGCATCCCTCATGAATCTGTAATTTATGCAGCCATTAGGGGTGTAATGAAACGCAAATCTCCCGATATGATACGTATTGTCATTTTTGCATCATGACACACGATACATTTTCCATACAGAATTAGAAAAATAACGCTTTAACATTTTTTTTTTGTATTTATTTATTTGGTAATTGCCAAAACATCCATCCATCCATCATCAAAACCGCTGATCCTTCTGGGTCACGGTGGGGTGCTGGAGCCTATCCCAGCTGTTACTGGGCGGAAGGCAGGAAACACCCTGCCCATCGCAGGGCAGACAGACAGACATACACATTCACACCTAGGGGCAATTTAGCACGTCCAATTGGACGGACTGCATGTTTTTGGACTGTGGGAGGAAACCGGAGTACCCGGAGGAAACCCACGCAGACACGGGGAGAACAGGCAAACTCCACACAGAAACGACCCTGGTCACCCGGCCGGGAATCGAACCCAGGCCCTTCTTGCTGGGAGGCGACAGCGCTACCCACTGCCCCACCGTGCCGCCCAAACGTACAACATTTTTTGTTTATTTTCTGCACAAGTCATTTTCTTAACATGAATAAACAAAAAATAAATAAATAGGAATATGAACAAAAATGTAAACTATAAGGCTACATCTCAGTATTAAATGAACTGAGTGGCTCAATCACTCTCAGCCAACAGCGGAATCTACAACAGAACAGAGAAGGACTCTACAACTGAATAGAGGTGCAAATCAGTAGCTAGTAACATTCCTACAGAGCTAAATATTTGTTTTGCCCATTCAGAATTGGCACTTAGCATCTGCTTGAATCTTGTGGGGAGAAGTAGCTGCTGGGATTTGTGGCCTTCTTTTCGTCAGCTTCTCCATTAAAGAATACTCCATTTTGAAAGAATGCTCCATTTAAGGTGGAACGGAAAATTTTAATAAGAAGCTGGCTACCTTTAGCTTTGGGTTTTCTTCTTGCTCTATAACTAACACATTTAGGTGATGTCTTGACATATGAGTGGGGTATTTGAGGTATTAGCACATGTATTCTCTTTTTTTGGCACCACTCTTTGCTCATCACTATTATACTCAACTGAGAAACCTTGCCATTTCAAGCAGCTTGGCTAATCAACTAACCACTGAAGGCTAACCAAACTATTTCTGAGAGCTGCACAGTGGAGATTTTTTTTTTACATTAATGTTTATCACTTTTAGGAATATAATGGACTGTGTTAAACAAAATTCTAAAAACCATTTACGTTACACCTTTTATATCATGAAATCTAACTGTGTTCAGTTCACAGTGTGCATTGTCTCACAATCTCCATGTCAAAAAAAAAATTGACATGCATATCATAACACCCCTAGTAGCTGTCGTCATATTTCTGACTGACAGAGCTTATGACGTATGCGGCCTAGAAATTGGCCTTCGTCCCAGTAATGAGACACAGAAACTGAGAAAATGAGATACTGATGATACTGAACCTTGTTGGCTGGTACCAATTCCAACCCTATATTTTTCTTTAACTGCTTTCTACATGCCCGCTAATGGCTCAGATATTTTTAAGTAATGTAATCATGTAAACATGAACCACCATTAGCTTGATGCTAACATGACATTGATATCCCCATTACCAAGCTAGCAGAAATTAGCACTATTGTAGTGTTGGTAAAATGAGTAAACAAAGGCTTCTTATGAAGCAAATTATCAGGTTTGTGCATGAAACATTGCTGTGTAATGTACATGCACATGCTTTAGAGACTGGCTCTGGCTCTCAGCATTAATGAAGGGAGGGAGAGGAGGAGTGGAAATCACTTTATAAATGAACACAGTCTCTGAGGAGAGTAAGTCAGCTCCACCCAGCTTCACTTGCTGTGTAATGTTGAGACACGTTTGCTCTATGATTTTTCCATCAGTCTGATCATGTCGCTTTGTGAAACTGTCGATGTGACACAGAAACAAACTGGACCAGTATCACAGATGAACTGAGGTGGTACTGGACATCAGACTACAAAGGAGGTGGGGCTGACAACGACAAATAAGCGGCTAATAGCCAAGAGGAAAATGACTGATGGCTGAAGAGGCTCATTTCACTCACAAGATGACATGGGTCTGTCTACTGTGTTATGATTGACTGACAGGTGGCAGGTGACGAGAGCAAGAGTGAGAGAGAAATCAAAAGTAGAAAAAAAGAATATGTACTTCTTTTTCATCCTGCGGTCTCTCTCGGCCTGCTTGCCCAGGGTCATGGTATCTCCAATGCTCATCTCAAAATCTGCAATTCAGCAACAACATACAGTGCTGAAAAAAAAAAACTCTTAAATGTTACCCTCTTAAAATCAAAGGCCAAAAACTGTTCTTTCGGAGCGATACCATAAAAGAACCACTTTTGGTTCCTTAAAGAATCTTTCATAATCACAGAAAAAAAAATATTCTTGTTTTTTTAAATAACGGTGTGACATAGTACAACCCCGTTTCCAAAAAAGTTGGGACACTGTGCACAATGTAAATAGAAACAGAAAGCAATGATGCGCAAATCATTTAAACCCTATGTTTAAAGTAGACATATCAAATGTTGAAAATTACGAATTTTGTTGTTTTTTGAAAAATGTATGCCCATTTTAAATTTGATGCCAGCAACACATTCCAAAAAAGTTGGGCACAGGTGCATGTTTACCACTGTGTTGCACCACCTCTTCTTTTAACAACACTCTGTAAATGTTTGAGAACTGAGGAGACCGACTGCTGTAGTTTTGAAAGTGAAATATTTCTCCATTTTTGCTTGATTTAGGATTTCAGCTGCTCAACAGTTCCAGGGTCTCCCCTATAATGCATTTCATAATTGCCAGGGGTGCCTCTGTGGAGGGCACTGAATATCTTCTGACCAATTCAGACAGGATAAGAAATCTTGGTATAAATGACAGGAGCAGCTACTTGATTTGCACACTGTTTTCACTCCAGAAAAGGGTAGAAAACATGTAGAAACATTGAATTTGGCGATTATTCTTCACCCTAACAATCTATCTTGTTGTCTTCAGTGTCATTAGCTCAAAATCACTGCATTAAAATCTAATCTTTTTTAATGTAATTTTTTACTTTTTAATGTTTTAAGTCGTGCACTTGAGGTAGGAAAGGACATATCGTATGGAATTTAGCCACAGAGAACACACATTTCTTTGAGTATCTGCATACTTAAGGAACTCCTTGTTCACCGAATATGATAGCATTTTTATTTGTCGATTTGCATGGTATTAATATAATCTGGGGTTGTTTCTCCTTCTTATTTTAATAGTAGTTAAAAGGTTGATAACAGGAGCATGCAGTCTGTAAAACATGGCACATTCAAATGGGACTACAATTACTGTGAAACACTGGTAAAAATTACATAACCCCACCTTCTCATGGAAATTAATCCATCCAAAGAAATATTATTAACAATGGGATTCCTTGCCAGCAAACATGATTATTCAATGTTATCTCTCCCAAGAACCTTTTTTGGATATATGCAATGTACAAGCAGTCTGCAAACCTCAAGCAGCGAGAATCTGGCTGAGAACAGAAATGGTGAGCATTCACCTTGAAAAAGTCATATACTCAGTTTACCCCCACTTAAATTATGTTTTGTTGATTTTCTGAGGTAAAATAAGTTAATACATCCTCTACAAGGAAAAATATGTAATTTTTCTGCTAATTTTTTGAACAATTTATATTTATTTGCTGCCTTTAACAAACTGGAAAAAATTATAATATTGAAAAAATATCTAATTTAAATAAGAGTCCCAAAATTTTTGGAAATTACGGTACGTAAAATAAATTACATGCAAAATAAATCAGCAACATTTGTATTTTAGGTTACTTACTTTTACCAAGAATTATGTTGATTTAATATATTGTATTTAGGTGGAAATTATGTACATATTTGAACAAAGTAAATTAATAAATCTCTTTTTTAGCACAGCATCATGTGAATGTGTCTACCTGGAATGACAGGTGGGGTCATCTGGCCGTCCTTGCTCATTGTCTGAGGCTTGTCTTTCTTGCCAAAGAGGCGGCCAATAGAGGACTTGATGCCCTTTTTCTTGTTTCCCCTGAACAGGAAGAAAGAAACAGTAAAAGAGAGAAAAAATGAGAGAAAGTGAGATGAGCTGCAGATCATGTTCTGTCTACAGAGTCTATGACTGTAATACTGCAGTATACTAATAGTGGCACTTTCAGTGTGCTGTTTGCTGCCTTCCAAGCTTTTCATCAGATGTTTTTATATGAATGTATCTTTGTGTCACTTCTTTGACATCTCATATCATTTATCACTATCATTTTTTATGTATTAATCTACCTGACAGCCTCCTGCGCTACCACTATGTTTGTTATTCATGCACTTATTTATTGATCCAATCAAAACTGATGTCCATTTAAATAAAATCTCTAGAATCGCTTCCCCCTACAAGAACGTGAATATTCATACAGTCTCCCACAGAGTCTGACTGCTTTCAGAGCAGATCAAGGAATAACTCTATTACCAGAGACAGAGAGAGAGATAGAGAGGGAGAATAAGACAGGGAAGGACACAGAAAGGAAAAAGAGAGACCAATAACAGAGCGAGCTACAGAGAGAAAGAGTGAGACAGAGAGAGAGAGAGACAGCATGTCCTTGTCCAGCTGTTGTGTCAGTCATAACATTAATAATAATTGGTGGCTATTAGGTCAGAAGTGTGTGTGGAGAGGGTGTGGGAGTGATTTTAAGGGCCGCAGTCTGAACAGAGTGTGTGTGTGTGTGTGTGTGTGTGTGTGTGCATTGAGTGTTCTGTAATTAGCTAGATGGAGGGTTTTTTATACCCAAGAAGGATTTTCAGTGCTTCGGGTGATTCTGCTCCAATGAAAAAGACACAGCAGAAGGACGGAAGGTTTTATTCTCACTGATTTGCTATGCACATGAGAATGTGAATGAGAAAGAGCCGCTGATGTCTTTACGCTCTCCATCAGCCTTAAGAGACACACACTAAAACTCTTAGTCAGGGTCAGTGTAGTTAAAGAAGGAAGGGCTTTTGCATTATGAAAAACTCCCGGTATTTCAGTATTTTCAAAGCACAATGGACAGTTTTATACATTTATTACAACAGTTATTACTGGGCTACTGAAATGATGACCATGTCCTTTCCCCCATTAATCCTGAGAGAAAAAAGGTGCTATTTCCATTTTTTATTCCACCGTTTTTCATTAATACCGTGATTTCGCATTCATTTTAAAATTTCTCTAATTAAACATTAAAAATGTCGAGAACATCATCTAATAAAGCCCAAAATTCACTGATTTTTATTTTGGCAAGGACATTTTTGCCAAGCTGAGGGAGGTGAAGTTCAGCACACGCTTCCTCTGAAACACAAGAAGCACCACCACATCTTACAAAGTGCCCCTAATGCAATATCACTGGATAACTGAACATGCCTGGAGGAGAACATTAACTGCCCAATTCTGCTACATCAACTAACAGACGCCTGCATTGCCTAGCAGCACGCTAAGTGATAGGGATGAGTGGCCATCCTACCCAGAAACAGTGAGGCCACTTATTCTCTTTTGGAATGATGACTGGGCCAACGCTTACACAGCTGCACAACCTGTGAAAACTTGCAGATACCAGTTTCAGCAAGCAAATATACGAACAGAAATCACTTCAGTCACCTTTTAGTATCATTCTGCTGACACAAACCAACAACATGCTTTTAGCAATCTGAATTCTGTTTTAAAGTTTTAAACTTGCTCAGAAATGACTGTAGCACATCTAACAGTAAAGACAACATGATGCATCTTTTATATAGTGATAGGAAACATAGTAGCACACAAAAAGCTCCAATTCTACACACATCTTAACATGTCCCAATAACACAACCCATTAAAGGGGACTGTGGCATGCGCCCGTCCCCTGGGCCCCGATGATGGCCGAGAGTCCCGAGCCCCGCCTCCTGGGCACAGCCTTCAGTCCCACAGCAAGGCCACTTTAATTTGCTTCACGATCGATCCCAGTGGATGAGACAGAGAGCGGTACCCAAGAGGCGGGGCTCAAGACTTACACGCCACCCCCCACTCCCTCGCAGATTTCATCCTCTCCCTGCTGTCTTTGTGGGGTTTCGTCTGGGCTCAGAGCTCGGGCCCTGCCTTCCTGCCAGCTCTCATGGCCATCATCGGGCCCAGGGGACATGCCACAGGGACAAAGCTAACTTCTCTCAATATATTACTGGCGCGGTGTTAGGATTGTTAGGGTTACGTGATATTCACAGTGCACACAACACTGTTATAACAGCCCTCAAACACAGCCCTCCTGTACTACAAACACAATTCCAAAAACATTGGGACAGAAGGTAAAATGCAAATAGAAACAGAAAGCAGGGATTTTATAACTCTACTTTGATCTGTATTTGAACAAAACCAGTTCAAAGGCAATACATATATATCGGAACCAAACCTTGTATCTCCAAATTGGTAACTTTACAGGAGAAGGAAAAAACCTACTTTACTTTTAATGTAAGTCAATGTCAATGGAACCAGACTTTTTTCCAAGTAATTTTGAGCCATTTCCTTTGGTCCATTCATCATGAAATTTGGAAACAACGCCAAGGGCAACAAGCCATTTCAAATTATGTCAAAAAAAAGAAAAAAGAGACAAAAATGGAGATACAAGGTTCTGTTCCGAGAGCAACGATAACATAGCAACATTTTCCAAAAATGCTGGCATGGGGCAATTAAAGACTAGGAATGTTATGTAACGTAAAAAAAACAGCTTTTTTAGAAAAAGCCGTTTCAGAAGTTTTCTCAGCAGTACACATTTCCAGTCTTAAATTGCCCAACATATTTTGGAACTTGAGGGCATCAGTTTTAGAATGAGTGTATATTTATATTAAGTACAAAGAAGTTTATAAAATAAAATATTAAACTTTGTTGTACTGTTTTTGTTTAAATACAGGTCAAAGTGATTTAAAAATCACTACCCTCTGTTTTTACTGGACTTTAACCTACTGTCCCAACCTTTTTTGCAATTGGGTTTGTACAACAAAAACTCTTCTGCAATGCACACCTCAATCTGCAGCTTCTGCCGCCCCTTTTATTAGCAAGCTACTAACAAAATACTTTTCACAGATGTTCAGTTTTTTTAATATTGTAATGATGACTAGTCGACTACTATTGTGAACGACTGTGAAAAACGAATAGTCATGCATCCCCCCAGTGCGTGTTTGTGTGTCCGTACCCTCGTCCATCCTCCAGGCTTCCGGTCAGCTGGGCAAAGTTCATCTGATCCAATCTAAGACTGCGGGGGGAGGAGGGGGGCGACATCTCACACTTTATAGTGGCTTTATCCTCGCGAGACTCCACTGGAGACTACAACAATGAAACACACAATGAAATACAAACCCTGACCGCCATAGTAACCACACAAACATCCTTATGTCACAGAAACCAGTTAGTGCTCAATTAGTACTTACATTTAGTGCACACTTAATTACCCACCATGCAATATTCCAGCTTATAAAAAGACTTCTACACACAAGACAGACACGCAATACCACAACAAATATTTCAGTCAGATGTACATGAAAGGAGCACTTACAGCAACTTTCCTGCGGTGTTTTCTTAAATCGCTAGGCTGGCAGCGTTAGGGAGAAAAAGAGACAGAGAAGAGACGCAGGCAGACAGGACGACAGGTGATTAAACGCACACAGAGTCAGATAAAGGGGAATAAATTGGATGCATAAACACATGCGAGGTCCCGTCATAACTCCTGCCAGAGTGTCAAAAGCTAGAACAGAGACCTGCGCTTTCAGAAATCATACCGAGTCTAGAATATGAATGAGGATTGAATGAAAAATAAATCACTGCCTCAAGCAGGGTGAGCATTTGCAAAGGTGTCAGTGGATGCATCATTTGGACACATGCAGTCTTAGACCATAAGGGATAGAAAAGCAGAGGGCTGTCAGAAATGCTTTGGTTATGGTGAAATAATCTGTTCGCTGTTAAAACACATCATATTTTTGTCTACAGCAACATTATTTATGACCACAAGAGAGTTATAAATGATTTATGTTCCAAATATACACTGTATGTCCAAATGTACTGAGACACCCCTCTGAATCAATGAATTCAACTGCTTTAATGTTCACCCACTGCTGATACTGGTGTCTGTCCAGTTGTGCACACAGCTTGTATAAACTCTTGAAACCAATACAATGCAATGATCTGGCACAGCCATGCATGAGCCTAAGGTCACCGTGCCCAATGCCAAGCCTCAGCTAAAGGGTTATATTGGGCTGTGGAGCAGCGAAAGTATGTTCTCTGCAGTAATGGAGCACTTCACTAAAGCTCCTAAGGCTTACAATGAAATTACTCTTTGTTTTCATAAGAAATGTTGAATGAGCAGGTGTCCACAAACTTTTGAACAGAAAGTGTACTAAGGACGCTGTGCAAAATGTAAATAAGATGTGCAAATCATTTAAACCCCATATTTAATTAAAAATTGAAAAAAGACAACATATGTTTTTCCTACAAAATAGTTAATTGTGTGCATGGGGGCCCACCAGTAGGAAATCACTTTAGGCCACCAAATATTCACATTCAATGGGTCTGGCTAAGTGAGAGGTAATATAGATAAAATAATATAAGACTACAACATGCTGCTTTAAAAATTCTACTCAATGCTATGACTAAAATTCTCACCAGGGTCATGATGCCCAGCTCGTGGGCTGCGGAGCGGGAGGCCATCTTGGGCGTGGAGCGTCCGCTGATAGGAGGCGAGGAGCTGGCCAGGGAGAGGGCGGTGACGGAGGTGGGAATAGTGGAGTGGGGTCTCAGGGTCACATTGAGCCCGTCCATGCTGCCGCTGTTCACTCGGCTTTCAATCTCGTCCGCCCGGAGCTCCGCAGACTCCCGTTCCACCTGGATCATTCTGAAGACACAGCAACAACCAGGACTTTAGTTTAGAATTCCTACTTATCCCAATGTTTTTTGCAACCTAATCTGTATCTGTAGAACAAACGAGTGAACAACATGGACAATCATTAGGATGTGTGCCTTGTACTTACTGAATAAAAGAAAACCTGCTGACTTAAAATATGCTGGTCATTGACTGCACCAGCAACTTCTATCAGAAATGTTTTGTGTCAACGGGTTTTCCTCTGTATTTTTCTGAGCTGAGCTGAGACAAACATTTTGTACTGCTGTCAAGCGAGCAGTCTTTCGAAGCTAAAGCACATTTAGCACCTCAGCTACCTCAGTGCTCCCTCGGTTATTACAGGCAGCCCACCTCAGCTCTGGTTTTCTCTTGTGCTGATAGTGTCCATGGAAAGATGTCCAGTCTGAATTTGACACTGGTTTGAAAAATCTAACTTTAAGCTTATTTTGTCTGTCATTTGACATACTCAGAGGAAGCAAAAAATTGGGGTAGTAGACCATAAGATACAGATATGGCAAACAAAGATTTGGTTAAAAAAGCTGGAGAAAAATGCATTTAAAGCATTTATAATATACATATCAGTGTTATGCCTTTAACTGTTAATTGCATTCAGCAATATCTGTTTAGGATGTAATACAGGATTTAACAAGCTATATGTGTGTGCTATGAGAGTGATAATGTCCTCTAAGGTGTGTTCTTAAGGTTCTGACAAATAGTCTGGATCAATTATCGCGGCCTCTAATTAAATGTTCAGAATTAAAATCAGGACATTTTGTGGTGTAGTTCTAGAGCAGGGGTCAGCAACCCAAATGTTAAGAAGAGCCATTTTCTCTAGTTTCAACAAAAATCTAACCACCTTGGCAGCTACAACATTTTATGTTTATTTTACCATTTTGGCTTTAAATATGTCTTAGTAGGTGCTAATGTCCTAGTATGGGCCAAAAATATAAATGAAAACGCAGACTTACTTTGCTCTGCTTTAAGCTTTAGCACAGCAATAGCTGCTTTTCTTACATCTCCAGTAGGAAACTTCCGCAAAAGTGGAATAGTTTCTTGTAAAATGTCTCTCAATGTTTGACTTTTCACAAAGCTGAAGTCAGCTCCTCACTCGCCAGCTTCTTGTTTGGTGGAACATGAAAATTCAAACAAGAAGCTGGTGAGTGAGGAGCTGATTTTTTAGTGTTTGACAGTTTCTTGTCGCAGATTAAACATATCAGGAAACCAGAAGGAGTGATTCTAAATGCAAAAAATTAGTCTTCAAATTATCAATGTTCATCTTAAATCTTTCTCTTTGCCGCTTCGTTAGCTACTAGTTAGGCAAAACTGTTGTCTGTGTTGCTCTGTGACCAGCAGTCTCCACACCAACCTTCAGGGTTATAACTCCAGCGTTTAAGACCATTTATTGGTAAAAAGCTTTATTTTACAGCAAAAGAGGATTATTTTATTTTTACCAAAGAATGTAATTCTGCTGGGGAGCCACAACAGGGCAGTAAAAGAGCTGCATGCGCCTCCGGAGCTGCATGTTGCCGACCCCTGTTGTAGTGATTGAATTGTACGTAGCTATATCAGCACTGCATGTACTGAAAAAAGCCATGCCCCCACTAACCAAAACAGGCAGCATTTCTTGACAGAGTACAGCAGTGGATTCCCATTAAGTACGAGTCACTTGTTTAGCATTGCTACTCCAGTAAGGAGCATTTTTTGTAAATAAAAAAAAAAGTTTGGATTTTTTGATCAGCATCAAATTCAGATTGGAATTCAGTCTTTCTGTGGACACTATCATCAGAAACATCACCACAGGAGAAAAAGGAGTTAACTGAGGTGCTAAATATGCTACCAGAAAGAGTGCTCGCATTGCAGCATTACAATATGTTTGTCTCAGCTAAAGTCAGAAATATAATGAGGTAAATTAGTTTTGCATTCATAAGATGACCTCATAGACACACAGTGAGTGTTCCCCTCTTCTGCTGCAGCCTTGCTGGCTTTCATCATTGTCTCTTGATCTCTGTCACTTCTAACATTAATTTTGTTTAAAGATTATGTGTGTATGTGGTTACTCCAAAATCCAAGATTTATCTAGCTCTGAAAATGTAAACACTATGTACCACTAGACCCAGCTATGCAACGTTAATGCTTAGCTGAGTCCGTTCTCTTTTTGATACAGAACAAATGACATCACTTGTTTGTAATTTTTTTCCCCTCTTTTTTCCTAAAATGGTTTTTGGCATTAAACAGCACCTTCTGCTATCAAAAAAAAAAAGCCAAATCAGACTGTTCCACTTTAAGGAAAGCTTTACCCAGTTCTTTAACAATAAAACATTCCAAAATCTCCTTATTGGAGAACAACATAGCCACATCGATCATGCCAACGTCTGCAGGTGGAACCCAGTCTACTCCAGATTGCCTTGTTCTATAAATATCACTTCATCACTTTCTGTATTGTTTGTTTTGCGTCACACTTGACAGATGTCCTAATACAAAGAGCTGAGCTTGCTTCTGAATGGAATCCAGGCAGCTCTGTGATAGGATGGGCTCTGAAGGCAGTTCTTAGACCTCTGGACTGCTATTTCCAGACCCGAGGTAAAGGGAGATTGCAAGGAGTCCTGTCAGAAGGATTTGATTTGTAATTGAGCTTAAAAGGTCAGGGAGTTTGAGATTAGAGTTGAGTCCTACTCTATCTGCTAGGGAAGGTGACTGCTGTCTGAAATCAGCTATGCATGGATGACAAATCTTCTCTGCTTTGAAGACGCATAGTGTGAATCAATATGACACCAGGCTTTTTACAATTGTAGAATTTAAATTGAAGTTCTGGTAACACATAGTTATTAGTCATGTCAACTGGCTCTGATCCACAAAGTAGATTTGGGCAGCATATTGGTTCATCCAGTATAACGCTTAAAATTCTTTCTCAGTTATGAGTTTTGTCATAACTGTCGTGTATGCCACAAATGAGTGCAGAGAATGTGACATACAAACAGTGCAAATTACACACACGTTAGCCCATTTAGTTATATGGCGGAGTCATGAGTTTCAGTAACATTTTACAATAGCAGCACTTACAGTTGACCAGGGCAGCTCTAGCAGGGCAGAAATTTCACAAATTGACTGGACTTAACGTTTTTTGAATAATGCCTTACAAATATAAAGTTTGACCTAAAAGCCCCTCCCTACCAATTAATACCCTTGATTTCCTAATAAGAAACCCTGGATGAGCAGGTGGCCACAAACCTTTGGACACAAAGGGTTGGCTTCTTTGCCCTTCGTATGTCTTTATAACAATCCTTGCAAAAGCCTTTCTGAGGTGCTAGATCTCAGGAATGTTACAAGCTATTATCTAATGCTTTTGTTTTTCCATTTGTGTAAAGCACTTCGAATTGTCACTGTGTATGAAAGGTGCTATACAAATAAACTTGTCTTGCCTTGCTTTCTCAGACGAGGCCTACCATCATTTTTCACGGAATAGAACTTTAGTCCAGGACTAGGCTCACTCCCTGTCTGGGAAACCGAGCCGTAGTGTATAAAGATATGCCCAGGTGGCCACTTTTAGGCTAAGGTTTTACAGGGTTAAGACAAATGATCACAGCTTGCTTTCCTACACATTATAGTTTACTTGCTTATAAAGAGTAAGAGATTTCCACATAAACAAAATGACAAGACAGTCATTTCCAAAAGTAATCAAACTCATAGAAAAAATGGTGTTGATGTGTTGATATGAATTTCCAGGCACGTTGTTGCTACATCTAGTTTCACCTGATCTCTTCATTGATGGCGTCAAGTTGCTCCTGCAGCATGAGGGCCAGCGTTTGCGCATCCGAGTGGCCACTCGGAGACAGCATGTCTGCTGAGCTAAAGATGGTCTCGCGGTCTTCATCGTCCAGGTCTGACAGCTCGGTGTCGCTGCCCATCAGGTGTGAGCGGCTGGCCCGCAGGCTGGCTGGCTGGGATCGGTCCCAGTCCTGCTCCACCATCGGCAAGATCTGAACACACAGCACACACAGACTCATTCACACACATCCCTTGACGAATGTTTTCTACTTAAGTGCTTATAAATGACTGGGTACATTCATGTACGGAGATGGAACAATATAGCTGTATGACTACAATAACATATTGGTATCTAAACATGCCTTTGAAACTGGTGATGAAGTGTAGTCACAAAATGCAGAACTTACAGTGAGCACAACATCCAGCGAAGCAATAAGAGACAAGCAGACAAAGACACATTTAAGACAGGAAAGACTGTCTGTAAGTATTCTTAGACTGTAGGCCTACAATCAGAGGCTTAACAGGGGGATAGTGGAATGTGGGGGGTTCTATCTAGGCCAGGGATGAGTATCATGCCCTCTGCATTACTGATAGAAGTAGTAGTTGTATGTATTCATGTGGTAGTACTTTCAGGATTAGGCCACCGTATAGCCTTGGAGCAGCAGCTGTACATCTACAGACTACAAAATATCTACAAAATACAGTTCAATTAGAATAAAAAGCAGGTCATAAAACATCAACATAGTAAAGAATGGATGGACAGAAAAACGAATGTGATTGTTTTATCTGAAACAACTGCAATGAATCAAACAAAACTGAATAATAATAATGGAACAGAATAGAATAATAAAATGGAAATAACTGAACTGATTTTAATAATTTATATGACTATGCTCCACTTGCTCTTTTTACAGCAACTGTTCTGAGGTCATACAAGCTTTACAGAAAATTGGCAAACATCCCATTCAGTCAGAACTAGGGATATATGAATAAAATTGCCACCAAGCTAATGCTAGCTCATTTACATGACATGGCATTCTTTAAAGCCTGTCCAACCTCTAGGAAAGAACATATTTGTAGGTGGAGCACGGACAGGTCAGTTAAATTGAATTTAATTGAATTAAACTGAATTGTAATTGAATTAAATTCAATTTAAACAAGTTAAATTGAACCAAACTGAATCTAACTGAACTGAAATGAACAGAACTGCACTGAGCTGAACTACACTGAACTGAACTGAACTGCACTGAACTGAACTGAACTGAACTGAACTGCACTGAACTGAACTGAACTGCACTGAGCTGAACTACACTGAACTGAACTGAACTGAACTGCACTGCACTGAACTGAACTGCACTGAGCTGAACTACACTGAACTGAACTGAGCTGAACTGAACTGCACTGAGCTGAACTACACTGAACTGAACTGCACTGAACTGGACTACACTGAACCAAACTGAACTGAACTGGACTGCACTGAACTGAACTGAACTGAACTGAACTGAAATGAATTTAATTGAATTTAACTGGATTGAATTGAATTCAGGAATATATAGCAGTGAGACATGAGCACCTTTGTGGGCTCGTCCCTGAGTGCTGCCAGTCGTCCTTTCTGTGCCCGCCGTATGACTCCTGTTGAGGAGTAATGATCTCCCTGCCCCTCCACCACAGAGTACCGCAGGTCTGTGGTGCTGCCCACATGAGACCTGACAAACACACACCACAGCAAGAACACAGCTCCTCAATACATCATACTTATTATGATCATTCTTCATCCCTTATAATTAAACAGGCTGTCTTTATTACTGTGCCTTTAAGACTGATATAAATAAATGAGCTCAAAAGCAGTCCAGCCTGAAACACTCCTTATAACTTCAGTGTGAATGGGCGGGAGCTAAACTGAACATGTATATTTTATGTAAATGTGTTGTTTTTTTTGTCATCAGAAGAACAATGAATTGAAAACTGGGTTTTTTATAGCTTGGATTTCATATATGGGCCATATGAGTGAATGGTACATTTTAAAACGTCAACAATGTTTATAAAGTACATTAAACACTTTTATTTTATATTTGGTTTTCCAGAATATGTGCCCTTTCTGAAACTATGCTAAACTCTTCTGGCAAACAGCACTGTTCCTCAGCTCAACTTCTACTTTGAGTTGCATTTCTTGCCTAGGACTTTCTGAAGTGAGAGCAATAAAGCAAGAAATTTGCTAACTATGTGCAGCACTTGACTACAATCAAACTTCAATAAAATAATGTCAATATGCTCAGCAGTACCGAGGGTGTGTTCCATCTCCAAAAGCACCGCTCCTTCTCTTCAGGTGATCAATCTCTGCCCGAAGCTTCTCTATCTCCCCTATCAGCCTCTCCTGCAAGGCAAACATCCACATAAGCAATGCTACTTTAAAACAAGACTAATTGAACAGTGTAAAACAGCTTAATGTTATTAAATTTAACAGTGTGTAGAGCAATTACAGCAATTTACACAAACGCATCTTTCCCATTTTAGAGCGTGCTCTGCGATCTCGAGGGGTAACGTTACCTTGGAGTGGTGGAACTCCTCCAGCTGTTTCTGGGAATTCTCCAGGTCGTGGATGAGTGCATTCTAGAGATAAAATAAGAGAGGAGAGGAAAGGTATTAAACCTGTTATCGAGCAGATATCAAAGCTGCACTTGTGGCAACACTCAATGCTGGACACACATTTTCTTCAACACACGCTCCCCTCACACGTTTTTATACAATAACAGGATGTGGGGTCTTACAGATGTCTAGTGACAGAGCTATACTCTTACATTGTGGGGGGGGGCTTTGGTGGTCCTTACCTGTCGAACATAATTATTTTCCCACACAAACTCTTAACAATTTGCCTAACCTATATACACCGATCAGGCATAACATTATGACACCTCTTGTTTCTATGCTCATTGTCCATTTTATCAGCTCCACTTACTATATAGGTGCACTTTGTAGTTCTACAGTTACAGACTGTAGTCCATCTGTTTCTCTGCATACTTTGTTAGCCCCCTTTTACCCTGTTCTTCAGTGGTCAGGACCCCCATGGACCCTCACAGAGCAGGTACTATTTGGGTGGTGGATCATTCTCAGCACTGCAGTAACACTGACGTGGTGGTGGTGTGTTAGTGTGTGTTGTACTGGTACGAGTGGATCAGACACAGCAGGTATATATGTTTTTTTTAGTAACACTCGCTCGTCCAGACTTCTGCCCCACACCTCACTCCACAACCTTGAAAAAATAGGACTTGCTTGTCTGTGTGGGTCAAGAACCTTATGTATCTCCATGTACTAAATGTTGATGCTGGAGCCCTTTGCGATACAGGGGTAATCGAGGTCTGCTTGCTGTGTTGAGAGGAGCAGTGATGTTTGAGCTGAGGGTGTTAATTCTTGTGGCAGCATGTGTGATTCTCAGGGCTGGTGACATTTAGCCTGAGAAGAGGACAGAAAACGAGGCCTGTGTAGGACGGTGACTGCGCTAAAAGTTCACGGTTACTAGCTGGGTGTTTTGCATTACTTGAAGGCTTACAGTGGCAGATGGTGGTGATGGTGATATTTGCATGTGCAGCTGTCGGCAAGTATACACTCACATCTGTATGCAGCATGTGTACATGTACACCGAGTTGCCAATTCATTAGTTGTATTAATTGTACCTACACTCATTTATCAGAAACACACACACACACACACACACACACATATCATATATATACATATATATATATATATATATATATATATATATATAGTTATTGAGGCTTCTATATAATGTCCTGAATAAAAAATTTACTTAACAGCCGTTTTGACTGGAAATGAGGAAATGAAGTGAATGAAGGCTGCTCTCTGATTTTTACACAGTGCTGTATGTATGGTGCTCTATGTGAGGGTGTTTCTATATATAAATGTATATGTCAGCATGTCAAAGTCTTCACCTTGTCCTCCAGTGCAGCCATGCGTTCCTTCAGGTGGAGCTGTAGTCGTTCATTAGACTCAGTGAGCAGGCGGTCCACTGTGTCCGACAGGCGCCTGTTATGTTCCTCATTCATCTTCTCTCGCTGACGAGCCTGAGCAGAGAGAAAGAGAGGACGCGTGACAGGCAGATAAGTGAAGAGGTGGAAAGAAAATGGAGAAGATGGAGGACAATAAGAGACATTCTTCAGTGAGTAAGCATCAGTTCATTCAATGAAAATGTGTTTTTTTGTTACAAATAACAATTACAAGTTGCTAAGCAATGACAAACAGCATACAACATGCATGGGGTCCTCCTAAGTGGACTTGACTGGTTCTAGCCTTAGAGTTGATTTTGAATACAGAACATAGCCAGTAGATGGCAGGCTTAGTCATTCACACTCACAGTATTCCATGAGGGCTGTGTATTTTCAAAATGATGTAACACGGTGGTTCTCAATGCCAGTCCAGGGAGACCCTGTTTTCCATACTCTAAACCATCTGGTTCAACTCACCAAGGAGTGGATAATTAGCTGATAAGCTGAATCAGGTGTGCTAGAAAAGGGAAAACATTCAACGCAAGACAGCAGCTCCTCCTTGGACTTGATAGAAAATGTAAACATAAAATGTCAAAAATTATCAAAAAAATGTTTTTTTATGAAGCTTGTATTGTCATGAGCTGCTTTTTATTCTTAATTTATCGAGCCGGTTAATAATAGACAATAAATGTTCTGGACAAATGGAATGATCTGATCTGATTTTCTTTATACATAAGCTGCAGTAATTTGTTTATTGACAAGTTTGTTTTAGCTGAGAGGGGCCCAAGTTTTCAAAAAAACTGGCAAGAGGGCCTCAGAAAGACAAAAATATTGAATATATTTGCTTTAGAGACTACCGCAGTACTGACATAGGAGGCAAGTAGACATGTTTCAAACAGATGTAGCAACGACTTAATGCTTCATTTTAGCCATTTTAATGCTCCACTGTTGGTGCATATCTCTTACTTATACAACCCCAACTGCAAAAATCTGAGACAGTTAGTGAAATGCTAATAAAACAGAGAGCAGTAATCAGGAAATTCTGTTTGGCCTATATTAAATTGAAAACAGTGCAAAAACACATTTTATGTCTTTCATTAGGAACTATGTTTTTTTTTGGAAATATATGCTCATTACAAATTTGGTGCCTGCAACACATTACAAAAACACTGGGACAGGGGAATGTTTCACCACTGTGTTACATCACCTTTCCTTTTAACAGCACTTAATAATAGTTTAGAGACTGAGAACACAATATCCAGTCATGAAAGCGTCACTTTTTGCCATTTTTCTGGTATACAAGTCTTCGGTCACGCAACTCTACAGGGCCTTTATTGTCATATTTTGAGCTTAATAAGACACACATTTTCAATGGCAGACAGTTCTTGATTGCACACAAGCCGGTCTAGCACTCCCTGATTACATGTCCATGCTGTTGTAACATGCAGAATGTGGCTTGGTGTTGTCATGTTGAAATAAGAATAGATGCCCCTGAAAAAGGCGGCGTCTAGAAGGCAGCTTATGTTGCCCTAAAATGTGTTCAGCACTAATTTTGCTTTCACAGATGTGCAAGTTATCAACTATATCATGACAAATCCTGGCTTTTGAACTTTATGATAGTAACAATCTGGATGGTTCTTCAGTTCTTTGGCCTGAAAATACAGCATTCATTATTTCCATAAGTAATCTGAAAGGTTGACCCAACAGACCACAATATGCACAGTACAGTCCTAACTTGAATTTGTGGATGCAGGGATGGATGATGTTCACTGACAAAAGTCAAAGTATTCTTGTGCTCATGAGGTGATATCCATTACAGAAGGATGCCGGTTTTGAATGCAGTGCTGTCTGAGGGGTCGAAGGCTGTAAGCATTCACTTGTGGTTTTTGCCTTTTTCCATTATGCACAGGGATTTCTCAGGATTCCCTAAATCCTTTGACGATATTATGTACTGTAGAGGTTGAAATACCTAAAATCTTTGCTTAGTTTGCTTTGTTGGATTTTTTTCAGATTTATTTTTGGCAAAGTGACGAGCTTCAAACCATCCTTGCTCATAAAGGACTAGGCTTTTCCATAATGCTCCTTTTATACCCAAGCATAACTGCAGCAACTGTTTAAGATGTTTTCTGAACATTTCACAATGTCCCTAGTCCTAAATTTCCCTTTCCCAATTTCTTTGGAACACATTGCAGGCATCAATTTCAGAATGAGCGTATATTTACAAAAAACAATGAAGTTGATAAGATAAAACATTACATATCTTGTCCTTGTATTGTTTTTATGCAGATCAAAGTAGATTTATAAATCACTGCTTTCTGATTTTATTTGCATTTTACATACTGTCCCATTTTTTTTTGGAATTTGTTTTGTAATAGAAGCCGTAATAGAGTCTTCAGCATCTGCCCACTGTCTTGTATTATTAATGCATTTTTCTGTTCTTTTCTACGTACAGAGAAATTAGTCACAAATACCATATAATACAGATACAGCACATAGAGATTAAGTTGAAAAAATGCTAAAGTGTTCCTTTTAAAAGGTGTACATCAATCAAAGCGTGACAACATGCAATGTCAGTGCATTTAATGCCTTACATTTTACCCAGAACATGCACAGTGAAAAGTGTCCTATGCTCTCATGTGGCCATTTCACATGCTGAAATCTCTCTCAAGTCTTATAAATAAAACAGTCCAGCACAGGACAACAGAAAGAGGCATAGTGTCATCTCACTGCACTCTCAAAGTCGTAGTTGCCAGGCAACACAGTCTTAAGTTTTTATGGCGAGTGGCCGTTCATATGCAAACGGCCTAGAAAGTCACTCCGATGTCAGAAACGCCAAAAAAAGGCTGCCGATATGTCAGTATTAGGTCATAACTGGGGCCAAAGGGGGCGACATTCAGCCTCTGTGGAGAATTCCTTCAAGTAAAAATAATCATCAGCTCACACGCAGAGAGAAATTAGCCATGCATGAATTATTCAACTTCCAAATATAGCAACCAATCACGGCACTCGGCTCAGTGGGGGTGGGGAAGTTGTGCTATGTGAGGGGACAAGTTGAGAGATGGCCCATATTTGCAAAGGCATTTAAGACAGAGAGTGTGTGTAATATGTAGAGTATGGATGAATGTTTATGTTGGGGTAAATACGAGTGGTGTGCTTGTGAATGTGTGCATATGTATACTTTCATGCAAAATAAATGGGCCAAGTCCAAAATATAAGTTTTTACTGATGGCTTTTGGCCTTTTCAGAGTCCTGATTTAAATCCCACAGAGAATATTTGGTCTCACATTAAAAACAAGCTAGCTTGGCATTGTTAGCAATTGCCATCAATGCTGAATGGAACAATATTGACTCTTCTTTCTGTAAAAGGTTGTCTGGGGCTTACCCACAATACCTTAATATTTAAAGAAATCAAAGTGAAAAGGTATCCCATACTAAGCTACTTTATCTATTTGTTTAATGACTTGTTGTTAAGACAATTAAAAGCTTAATGTTTTGCCATTTTGGGAGTGTACAGTACTGTGCAATAGTCAGAGACCACTCTCTTTCTAGTCCAAAGTGCCTTTAAGTACAAGTTACTTATTTTTCTGCTGCATGAAAAAATATAAAATATGCTTAAAAGCATATTTAGTGTGTCCACTCTTTCCCATTGTTACAGCTTCCATTCTCTTCAAGAGGCTTGCTTTCAGTTTTTCAAAGTAATCTGCAGGGATATTTTTCCACACCTCCAAAGCTCAGAGTTAGAAGTTGGTTGCATTTTCTGCTTCTTACCATCCAAGTAATAGTAAATACATTCAATGATGTTGCGGTCTGGACTCTGGAGTGGTCAGCCCACTGTTCTGACAACATCAGCAGCTTCTTTGCATGGTTTGCAAATTTTCTTTTTTTTTCTCAATAACATCTTCTTGACAGGTACACAATCTTTTAATGTTGTCTTCTCACAGTGGAAGGATGGACAGAAACACCTGTGGATTTTTTCAGATCTGAAGCAAGAGTGGAGCTTGATATTCTCCTTTCTCTCAAAGATGAAAGCTTTAAGTGCTGTTCATCTGATGGTGATAGTTTTTGTGGTCTACCAGATCTAGTCCCATTTTGTCCGGTATATTTTAATGATTTTTTTAACTTAATGATTTTTTTTTCACTTATTTTCCTTTGGCTTTTCCCTTCCTTCTACACTTGCATGATCTTGCATCTAATCTCCTCAGAAACATCACCTGAAACACAAATATTTTGTACATAATGGCTGTTTTGCCTGACAATTAATGAAGGGTGGTCTCTGACTATTGCACAGAATGTTATGTTAGTGTAAATATGTGTGCTGTGCTTGTGAATGTGTATGTATATGTGTTACTTTGCACACTGTGTGAGCGTGTGCATTTGTGTGTGTGCGTGTGAAGGAATTCAGACAGACAGAACAGAGAAAGCCAGGCTAATGGGAATAGTCATCTCACAGAGGCCTTACTGTGTCCTGCAGGCCTGGTCAACACTTATTACTATGCCCACTGTCTCCTTCAGCACACACACCACACACACGTGCAGTGCATTAGCCTATATACTCACCCAAACACAGTATATGTGTACTCATGTAGAGGTAGGCAATACTGTGATAATTTACAGTTATCATGTCAAATTTTGTTATTGTCATAAACAATATTGCAGACATTGTGAGTATTTAAAGAAAGTGGTTTACTATTGTGCTACTGTATTACTGTAAAACTCATTGTTTGTGTGACTTGTCTCAAAATGTTATGTTGTCAACAATTTCCAAATCGTATCACGTTTTATTAAAAGAGAGCATAGTAAGTCTTGTTTAACTGTATCTCAGTATGTGACATTTTGATGAAAAATAACTGTATTCATGGTTTTTGATGGTTGTTTTTAAATGCAGCTCTACTAGTGCTTTGTGCTCTACTAGTGCTTTGTGTTTTGACACGTACGGTTTATCAGTAAAATAATTTCATGTAACGTTCATGTTCTAATCTGCTACTGCCATTCCACATGACTTCTTTACATTTTCATGACGTCCACCCAATCCCATTGACCATTCTAGTTGACAGCCCCTCTCCAGTTCCTCCACTCACCCGGCCGAGTTCCTGGTTCTTCTCCTCCAGTTGAGACTCCAGCTGTCGAAGGCGCTCCTCTATGTTGCCATGACGTTCCTCAGCCTGCAAGATTCAGCATCATTATTGGGAAGAGCAGGCATACTGGAGGTACATATAAATGGTCTTGTAGCCTTTTGTGTGCCCAAAAAATGCTAAACTAAGTAGTTAAGTTAGATGTACTTAAATACAATTTTGATCAAACTGTACTTACACATACTCAGGAACAGTACATTTCGAGAGTTTCTCTTTTCAGGTCTAATTTCATTCAGTTCTGTCAGTTTAGCTGCTAGACTGCTTTATTTTTATCACACTGCTCAATTTGGAGCTTTAGTGTTTTATTTTAGACCAAAAGTATGCCTAAAAGAGAAGATCAGTGTCTAGCAAACTAAAAAACCTTACAAATAAAGGTTCTTAAATGGTTCTTCTTTAATGGAGACCCCTGTCACCCAATTTTTGCCTGAAACAGTAAACCCAAAGTAAAAGGACCACTTTTCCCTCATACTTTGGGCTACGATCATGATCTTGGTCTCCTTTGAATGGTAACACTCTCAAGCTCAGAATAATTGTAAGAATGAGCGACACAGAGTAACAGAGGCTAGAATGGAGAAGTTGATTTCTGTCTGACTCATAGATCTCTAAACTGATCTCTGACTCTTGCCATGTTACCAAGACTGCATATTTTGGATTATGATGTATCTGTGGATAGCAGCAAGGCTTTGAATGTAAGGACCCACACCTTTGCTAGCGTTTGCTCATTCGACGCTTATGTAGCAAACGAGACGATCGTAACTGCTGTGAATAACGGATCATAAAATGTTTGCTGAATTCGCATCCTGAGATTTCAAGCTTTCTATATTGCATTACTGTATTGCTGGACGATTTGATATGAAAATGATGTATAAAAAAACGGCTTCGACAGAAGTGCGCTGGTACTGGTACAATAATCTAGAAAGGCTTAATTAGTATAGAATAGTGGTCTTCAGTTCTAAACTTTGAATCCTATTTCCGGTCCTGGATTTTGTAACCAGTGAGAGCTAATTAAACCACTGATGTGGCTGATTGGCCAGCTACTGTCATACCTGATTTTCACTTTAAGATCCAAGAATTCAAGGTCTGTAATTAAAGATCTATCAAAAGATTTCCCAGGGCAGGGCTTTTCAAACTGTGCCTTAAGTTTTCTGTGAGATGTGTAAAATCTCTTCACTGAAATATAAATGTAAATTGTAATTTTGATGTCTAAACGACTAATCTTACAGCCCCATATTTCTTTGACTCATAAAAGTTGTCTTTTGCTAGACTTCCTGGCTAGTGTGAAGTAACAATACGTCACTTTAGGCTACCCTGCACACTTCTGACAATGACCTGCTATCTTTGCCTCCATCTAAACTGCTCTTCAATAGGAGACCCACTAACTCCTTTCACAACAGGCTTCTCTAAAGATCTCTCGTCACGCTTGCCAATAACCTCGTAATTGAGGAACTAAACGGAGAGAGAGAACTCAACTCTCTCCATCTCTCCGCTCATGTTCCATTATTTCCTGTGGAAACTATCTCTCCATATTGATTTGGTCAGCGGAGCACAAACTTCACATTTACTAGACCGAGAGAGAGAAAGAGAGAGAGAGACATGTGGTGAGAGTGGAGAGAGACAGGTGAGAGTTAAATGAGAGAGAGAGAGCGAGAGAGAGAGGGTGAGAGAAAGAGAGACAGAGAGAGAGAGATGAGGAGAGAGAGAGATAGACAGAGAGAGATAAAGAGACGTGGTGAGAGTGGAGAGACAGTGAAAGACACAGCGATAGTGGAGAGAGAGCGAGAGAGAAAGAGAGAGAGGGAGAGAGAGAGAGAGCGATAAAGAGACATGGAGAGAGTGGAGAGAGACAGAACTCATTCAAAAACAAATCCATCAGCAAAACAAAGGACAAATATTATACATTACATAAAATACATAACTGTCGTGTGCAATTTCAACAGTAGCTGTTATTTAATACACTGCACACATATTGCACAATTACATGAATTCACACCTGTGAACTACATTATTTCAATTTATCACTATATTTTTGACTTTATTTTTAAATAAAGCATATGTGCAATTATGTGTATGGTACATATGCATATTTCTGGTGTCAAAGAAATATCTCAAATTTCCATTTTTTTGTTTTTTGACATTATTTGAGAAAATCAGACACCCTTTACATAAAGCGAAGAATGTTTTTGTCCTCTCCTGTAAAGTTGCCATTTTGGAGAGCTTTTCTTTGGACAGCAACTATATATATTATATGTACATTTTTTTCTGTTTAGCTGCTATTCTACAGTATTGCACAGCTTTTTTTTTCATTTGCACTCATATTGCATACTGTACATACACTGTTTTTATGCCTGTTAGAATTTGACACAGTTACAAATGCACACAGATTGTGTAGCATATAATATATACATATATTTTTATTACTCTTCTCCTATATTTTGGTTTCTTTTTTACTTAGTACCAGGAGGTAGTGCAGAGAACTTCACTATACAGTGTACCTGTCTGTTTCTCTGTGCAAATGACAATAAACTCTACAATTTTGAATCCTGAATGTTAAAGTTGGGAATAAAAGAACAGAATTCTTTACACATGTTGTGGAGAGCGTTAACATATACATTAACAACCAGGCCACAACTGTTAAACAATTATCAAATTCAGGACTGAATAAGGAGGCAGAAAATTCTTTCTATATGCAGATGATTTGGTTTTGCTTCTATAGCACAAGCCTTGTATTAACACATAACACTACTAGAAGAATATTGTCAAACCTGGTGAGTTTTCTCTCTCTACCTCACAGCATATCTCACTGCACACACCCAGAAACAGACCCCTCAGACATCTTAAAGATAACCATCACATCTATAGATCACTGAACAGAGAATACACACCAGCAAATTATCTGATTAAAATTTAAAAAAATCCCAAAGAAAGAAACACCTCAACAATAAACAGACTTAGTGATTATAATTTAGAAACAGAAAAGGGAAACACTAGGAGGCCCAAAGAAGATCTCAGAGAAGATTATTTCAATTCAATTAAAACTTCCCATCATTTGAAGAGAAAATGATAAAACTGAAGATGTTGTGCACATGTTAAAGGAGAGATACCAGAATGTGTTAAACTAAACAGTTAACAGCTCTCACACATGCAGAGAAAAGAACTGAAACAGTCTCTTAAGATAATCCCATGTACATGTATTATTTATTTAACTGTGTATGAATTTGTACATATATTACACGCCTGTATAAGTATGTACATATTGTATATAATATATATTTTTCTTTTATATATTTTTTCATCCTTAATATTACTCCATTATTAAGTATTCTATTCATTCCTTTGACAATAGTTGTTCATTACAATTCATGCCAATAAAGCTGTTTCAATCTGAATTCAAATTTGAGAGAGAGAAAAAGAGAAAGCCCAACAGAGAGTGAGACAGAGGGAGACAATGTGTGTGTGAGAGAGAGAGAGAGATTGAGAGAGAAAAGGGAGAAAGAGAAAGTGGCGACAGAGAGACATGGTGAGAGTGGAGCAACAATGTGTGTGAGAGATAGAGAGAGAGAGAGAGAGGGAGAGAGAAAAGGGAGAAAGAGAGAGGTGACAGAGAGAGAAAGAGAGAAGGGAGAAAAAGAGAGAGCAGGCAACAGATAGAGAGAGACATAAAGAGAAAAGTGAAAGATAAAAAAGAGAGAGAGTGGAGAGGGAGAGGAAGATGTAGAGAGAGAATAGGCAAAAGAGAGAAAGAGAGAGAGAAGGGGGAGAAAGAGACAAAAATGGGAAAGGTATCCCGCTACCTACCGCCCTTTCCGCTTTTCTCTCTAGTTTTTCTCTCGGTGACGTTCCTCTTCCCTGGTCTCTCTATTCCCTATGCTCGCTTTGCTCTCTATCTTGATGATGCTCGTGTCTCACCCCTTTCCCTCTACCTTGTTGCTCTTTTCTACTCCCGTCTTTTACCTCATCTGTTCCTTCTTTCTCTCCTTACTCTTCCCCTCCTCTACTTCTCTCTCTCTCTTCCTCTATCTAACTTCTTCTTCATTCCTCTCTCTCCCTTCTTCCTCTCTCCACCTTTCCTCTCTCCTGGGTTCTATTTTATACAGATCTATTTCTCTTTCCCGCGATAGCCCTCCCTCTCTCATATCTTCCTCTCTCTCCCTTTACTCCCTCTCTCCCTTTTTCCTTTCTCTCCTTCTCTCTCTCTCTTTCTACTCTCTCTCTCTCTTTGTCTCTCTCCATCTCACCCTTTCTCGCTCTCTCCTCTCTCTCACTCATTTCTCTCTCTCCGCTCCTCTCCCTCTATTCTAGTTTTCCCTCCCCCTCTCTCTTCTCTCCCTCTTTCTCTGTCCCTCTCTCTCTCTCTTTCTCTCTCTGCTTTTCTCCCTTTCCCTCTCTCTCTCTCCTACTCTCACGCTTTTCTCTCTCCCCTTTTCTCCCCTCCTTTCTCTCTTTCTTCCCTTCTCTCTTTCTCGTTCTTTCTCTCTCTTCCTCCCCTTCTCTCTCTTTCTCTTCCTCTCTCTCCCTCTGCTTTTCCCTCCCCCCCTTGCTACTCTCTTCGATTGCCATCTTTAATTAGCTTCATTAGTCTGCTCAGTCGTACTGACGGTGAATTTGGTCGCTTGTGTTCAGCACAGACACTCCGCTCCTTCAGCAGAGGCTGTCAGACAGAGAGAGATCTCTATTGACGGAGCAGGGATTGTTTCAACAGCAGAGATGAAGGCGTAGAGGACAGAGGAGGAGGACGCTCCAGTTTATCAAAGTGTGATATAACACCATTGTGTCTCTGAGAGCTGCAGAAGTCTGAAATTCTACTTTGTTATATTGAATAATTGTTGTTTTCCTCAGTGACCTACAAAAGGATTCTTGAAAGAATTCATGTGCTGCAATGAACAAGCTCGTATTGCTCGTATTTGTCCTTTCAAATTTCCCACTTTTAAAAAAAGTTTGAGTCTTTGTTTACTTAGCTGTTTGTTTGTTTATATAGTTTGGACACTAAATATAAAATATATATGAAATATCCAGAACAACTGTTATTTTGAAAAAAGAGAGAGAGAAAGACATAAAGAGACATGGAAATAGAGAGAGAGGGAGAGAGAGAGACAGAGTGGGAGAGAGAGAGAAACTTTGTTTATTTTTTTTAATACAAGGCAGGAGGGTGGAGGCTAGCGCGTGCTTCCTCTGAGAGGCCAGCCACTGCATCTTTCAAACCTACTCCAAACTGCACAACATCATTGGGCAGCTTTGAGGAGAACAATTGGGGCCAACCTTGGCTATCATCATGCTGAGTGATGGGGACAGAGAGGGCCTTTTTACCCACTTAGAGAGATCAAGACCATTTATGGCTGTGGTATCATCACAGATTGGACGATGCTTAGACCACAGCTGCGTTTACAAACTGTTCTTCCTTTATTGCTAAATTGTTCAATTACTTTTTTGGTCAGTTTTAATAAGGGTTTTTTTTTAACCTGAAGCTCACACTGTGTGGGCTAAAAGAACACACTAGAACAATGTTTTTCTCCATTTTTCCCAAAATTTTTCCCAATGTTTAACTAAACTAAAATTCTGCACTTAGCTAACATGTTATTTACATTATAAAACTGCAAAAGAAATCAGTTAAAATAGAAATGACAGATTGGCTGTTTGACAATTGCATGTTTAGAGCAAAATGTGCCCCTTTCAATCTTGTACATCCCTTGATAAAATTACTGAAATCTATTAATCAATAATGAGAACCTTTATGAACCTTTCATGTTCATTAATCTCTCACAACATTCATTTTCTACCTACCAATGTGCAGGACACATTGCTTCTTCAGTATTGTACATACTCCTCTCAGTAATACGGTGTGTGTGTGTGTGTGTGTGTGTGTGTGCGTGTGTGTGTGTGTGTGCTTGCCTTGGTAAGTGCAGCTACTCTCTGAGCGAGTTCAGCCTCCACCTCAGGCAGAGTCTCAGCCTTCCTCATGGTCTGCTGCAGCCTCTGCTCAGCCAGCTCCAACAGCTCCTGCAAGTGCCTTACTTTCTCCTCGCTCTGACACACACACACACACACACACACACAAAGTGTATATGTACACAATCACCACATTAAAATACTCACATAGCGTATATGTACACATACAACCCATACATATGCATGAAAATACTCACATTTACACACATAATTACAAAATACCCACAAAACAACACAAATCATATCCAAACTTGTACCAACAATAAGAAGGCACACACAACACCACATAAATACAAATCACCAGTGAACACACACACAAATGCCCACGAACATGCAGACACGCACACACCCACAGGCACAGGACAAACGTGTTGTAGTAAAGGAAAGAGGAAATTAAAGGCATGTTCATCAATCGCTGTAAAAAAAAAATATGAGTATTATACTGTGATAAGCCCAAAATTCAGCCCAATTTCCAATGCAAATTATACCTGAAATCTTATGAAGTCAGTTTTATTTACATCATTTTTATTACTATTATTATTATTACTATTATTATTATTATTTATAACAATGGGGGTTGAGTAACAAAATTCAACACTTTTGTAGTACCAACCAAATACCAGATTTATATACATAGTCTGTAAACATCTAGTTTCTAGTTAAAACCACACTCACATTCCATTTGTAAATAAAGATTACAAAAAAGTATCACCAAAGTCCTTATGGAAAAGAATTTTTATAGCAAAAAATGTAAAACATATACAGATAGATAGATAGGTAGGTAGGTAGGTAGGTAGGTAGGTAGATAGATAGATAGATAGATAGATAGACAGATAGATAGATAGATAGATCTCGCCCACTCCACAAAACACACACATATAGTGAGAGAAACCCTCTGTACGCTCTGCTGACAGAAACACCAGAGTGAATGTGACTGCAAAGCCCCTTTCTTCTCTCTTCTTACAGCCTTGAGTGAAGAAACATTCACACACATTTTCTCGCTCTCTCTCTCTCACACACACACACACACACACACACACAGACACACACGTCCTGTTTTTCTCCTGCGTGCCTTTACTTCTGACTGTGTGTATTTGGAATGCTATAACAGCACTGCAGCTTCACAGCTCTTCTACAACTCCCCCAACTACTACACACTCTACAGACACACATCTCCCACTGAAACCCCCTCAAACTCCTATTCAAGACCATCTAACTGGCTACATGAATAAGTCAGTAGCCTCAGTCTTGGTTAAGGCATCACAGAACTGATGGGGAGGGACGATGAACTCAGCTTTGTCTGCATATGAACTGGAGATGACCCTCCAGCCTGGGTGAACACCAGGTGAACTCTGGTTGAACCCAGCCTTCATCTTCCTCCACCAGGGCCCTGGCTGAGGAGCAGCTGACCGTACCTGCCGGTGCAGCGAGTCCTTGGTGGCTAGCTCGTTCTCCAGCTTGTCGTTCAGGTCGTGGATGGAGGTGGTTTCCCGCTGGGCGGCCAGGTAGCGCTTCTCCAGCGTTGTGATGCGCTCCTCCATGTCCTCCTTCTGTGCCATCGCCTGTCGAACAGGCATATAGTAAGAGGAAAAAAAAACAGTAATAACAAAGCATTCCAAGAAAACTCTTAAAACCTGTAAATGCGTAGGGGACACTAGGATACAACAGTAATGAAGACAATGCATGATTAGTACCTAATTTATGCAAAGTTCATAGACATATGAACAAAGAAGAGAAATGGGAGATGAAGTCTGAGATTCACAGTTAGGAATTATATAAGGTCAAAATGGGGTCCTCAAATCCTTCACACTTTCAAACTCATCAGTTACTGACACTCAGAAACACATGCAAGCTTAACTCTTAAACTCTACCCTGTAGCTTGAAAAGATTGTTCTACATAGTAATATTTTTTCTCTTTTCCCTTTAAAATTCTCAAATACCCCTAACTCAGGAGTCGGCAACCCAAATGTTAAGAAGAGCCATTTTGTCCTTTCAACAAAAATCAAACCACCTTAGGAGCCACAACAGTTTATGTCCATTTTACCATCTTGGCTATAAATATGTCTCAGTATGAGCTGATGTCCTAGTATAGGCTGAAAATTAGACTTACTCTGATCTGCTTTAAGCTTTAGCTCAGCTATAGCCGCTTTTCTCGCATCTCTGACAAGATACTCTTCCACAAAAGTAGAACAGTTTTTTGTAAAATGTCTCTCAATGTTAGGCCTTTTACAAAGCTGAAGTCAGCTTTTCATTTGCCAGCTTCTTGTTCCACCTTTAGTGGTGCTTGAGGTGCCAGAATGTAACTGCTGCACCTTTTAAGATGGAACGGGAAAATTCAAACAAGAAGCTGGCAAAAGAGAAGCTGATTTCAGCTTCACAACTTATTAATGATTGACAGTTTCTTGCTGCAGATTAAATGTATCAGGAAACCAGCTGAAGTGATTATAAAAGCAAATATGTCCATTTGTCTCCAAATTATCAATGTTCGTCTCAAATCTTTCTCTTTGCCATTTCGTTAGCTGGTAGCTAGGCAAGATTGTTGTCTGCGTTGCTATAGTGACCAGCAGTCTGCACAGCAACCTTCAGGGTTGAAGTGTGAATCAGCAGTTATAATTCCAGCATTTAAGACTGTTTATTATCAAAACTGTATTGAACCATCAGCAGAGCTTTATTTTACTGCAAAGGAGGATTATTTTATTTTTACCTAAAAAATCTAATTCTGCTGTGGAGCTGCGAAAAGGCAGTAAGAGAGCCACATGTTGCCAACCCCTGTCCTAACTGTTGTCACTTAAAGGGCCCATATTCTACATTTTCTTGATTTTTTCACACTGAGGTCCACTTACAACATTAAAAACAATCAGACTTCATTATATTTGTCCATTTTACAACCTCTATTTATTCCTTGAAATAAATATATTAGACATATTAAATATATATGAGAATGGGCTGTTTGTGTTACTGTGCCTTTAAGACTGATATATGTGAATAATGTCTGTTCTAATTAGCTGCCCTGTATTGTGCCTCATTCAAAAACCAGTCCAGGCTGAAACACTTCTTATAACTTCAGTGTGAATGGGCGGAGCTAAACCGCTGTAGGCTGAATAGGTGGATGCAGGTCATTGCAACAGCTTTCATGATGTCACAAAAACACTGAATTCAAAACAGCCTGTTTTTGCACCTTAGTTTCCATATATGGATTGTATAGTTGGGGGTGTGAATGGTATGTTTTGAAATGTCAACAACGTTTACATACTACATTAAACTCTTCCATTTAAAAGTGGTGAGGAAAATGAGTTTTTTCATCAAAGGGGCTTTTAAAATCCAAGAAATTTTCCTCTTTGTCCAAATGTGCTCTACTACTTTAGCAACTGAGGCTAACAAGTAATGGCAGAAGAACACAGTAATAGTTACTGTGTTCTTCTAGCATTTAGCTTGCTGAACAGTCATTTATTTCCCATCAGATGGATTAAACTGATGTAGAGAAGTGCAGATAGCTGCAAAAGGTGAGATTCTGAGAGCTGCTGTCATTTTAGGCAAAGAAAATTGTTAACTGCATAAGCCTCGTAGCTCAATTTAAAAACTAAAGACGCACACATGCCTTGGCTGATATAAATACAGCTCAGCAGAGTTCTCTGTTTGGTCACACTCCCTGCTTTCTTTTTCATTGTCTGGCCCTTGGATCGAGGCTATGCTCTGTCTGTGTGGATCACGCTCACCTCGCGGATGTCTCTCTGATGTTTGGTGTTCAGCTCTTCGCTCTTCAGCAGCTCCTTGCGGACATTGGCCAATTCACCTTCCAGCTCGGCCACGCGGCCATTCAGGGTGTTAGCCCGATCACGGCTCGTGGCTAGCTCTTTGTTAGCCTTGTCCAGCAGCTCCTGCAGCTCCAAACAGCGACTGGCCTCATCGTGGACGTCTATAGAGCCGTTGGGCAGTCTCTGTAGGATATGTAAAGGTACAGAGACAAAGCTATGTTAGTGAAGTAGCAGTTAAGGATGATTGCTTTGTATGTCTGTTAGGTTTGCATAATATGGACAAAAGTATCTGGACAGGTGTTCCAGTGTTTCAGACGCATTCATTGCTAAAAGGTATATAACATCAAACACATAAGCATGAAATCTCCATAGACATAGAAACATAATTTGTTTGTGTGGAAGTCAAGCACCTTGAAGATTATTCCTATTGGACTCAAACACATTTCCTAACAGGAACGTGTGCTATTGCAGTAGGAGAATCCTCTAGAGGGCTGTGCGAGGAAAGGAGCGCTTGATTTCACATCAGAAATGAGCTCTGCCCTGACATACAGCACTGCTGAGGGAGGATTCTTTAGCACTCTGCACTGTAGAGAGCAAGTACAGAGCAAGTGTGAGAGGAAAGCTCTGATATTTAGTCTGTAGGACAGGTCACCTCTGCTCTGTGCGCAAGAATTTCAGGTGCTGGCAAGATATTCGCCCCAGGGACCCAGGTGTGAGTGTGGCGTGTGTGTTTTTGTACATTTTCAGGACAAAATGTCCTGACTAAAACCAGAAGAAAACAATTCTACCCTACAGAACCAACAAAATATTGATGTTATAAAGGTTTGTTTGTTACAAGAACTACATGTTTCATTGTTCTAAACCAAAAGGGGTAAAATATAGCCTACTCAGTGTGGTATGGGTGAGCAGAGACAGAGCCATTAATAATGCCATAGAAGCAACTGAGAGGTCTTCCAGGCTGTGGATCAGAAGAAGTGAGCCGTGGAGTGCATGTGCTACTGGGACACAAGCCAAGGCTTGGTCAACCCTGGTGGGTCACCTGGGAGAGAGTGTCTCAAGCTGCAAAAACTGAAACACCCAAGGACCACAAGATACATCACTGATGTGTCTTAGAGCATCAGAAGATATCCAATAAGTAGATCACCCAATTGAAAAAGTAACTGCCCCCTTAGTAACTTAGGCAACAAATGACTGTTATGCTTAGACCAGCAATGTAATTACCTGCTTCAGAGGTAGGATTCACAGGATTATGTTATGATCTGTTTAAACCCAGGGTATTAACTGAGAAAGTAATAAGCCAAATATATTTTAAAAAATCATCATTTATAGGGTACTTTCTATTGGGAAGTGGCTGTGTCAAACCCTAACCCCTAACTTTCATCTTCTGAAAATAATACAATTTTTTAAAAGTTTTTTTAAGATCTTTTTGATTTCTTTTTAACCCCTTAAAATCTCAGGGTTATTACATACTAAAGCTTATTATTCAGTAACTACAGGGACATCAGTGCAAACTGGCTGAGCTATTCTTAGGTTATAGAAGTGTGTAAAAAAGGTTTGGATTTAGATTTGTCATGGGTTTAATTTTTAAATAATAATAATAATAATAATAATAATAAAAACATTATTCAAAAAATGCTGTCCCATGTTTTCATGTCACTACCGAAACACGAAGATTTGTAATTTTAGAGCAGGAAGTGATTCTGTATCCCTGTCCCTCATGGCCACAGTTAGATCTCATTGTTTTGAAGTGAATGTGTCCAAAAGTCTGAACATCAGTGTGTAACATTAAAAACTGTCACTGCCGAAATATATATAAATATAATTTTCTGACTGATAGATAGATAGATAGATAGATAGATAGATAGATAGATAGATAGATAGATAGATAGATAGATCACAAAATAAACAAAGTGGCAGTGCAATATGAGTGGCTTAGTGTACAATAATGTCCTGGCACAGTGACGAGATGTTGTACAGTGCGATCGCTGTTGGTACAAATGATCTCCTGTACCGTTCCTTACTACAGTGGAGCTGAATGAGTCTGTTGCTGAAGGTGTTCTGCTGTCTGACCAGTAGATCATGGAGGGGGGTGAGATGTATTGTCCAGGATAGCAGTGAGTTTAATAAGTGACCTCCTTTCAACCAGCACCTCAAAACCATCCACTGAGCATCCCAAGACAGAACCAGCCTTCTTGATCAGTTTGTTGAGCCTTTTTGCCCCGCCCCACCTCTGATGCTGCCTCCCCAGCAGACTGCTGCAAAGAAGACAGAACCCGCAACAACAGACTGGTAGAAGAGTGCCACCATCTTGGTGCACACATTAAAGGGCCTGAGCCTTCTCAGAAAGTAGAGACTGCTCATCCCCTTCCTGTACACAGCCTAAGTGTTGGCCCTCCAGTCCAGTTTGTTGTCAAGTTTGTTGATATTTGTAGGTGTCTACCAGCTCAATGTTCTGACCCATGACGGTAACGGGACATATCGTGGTCCTCTTCCTCCTGAAGTCCACCACCATCTCCTTGGTCTTGGTCACATTGGGGATCAGGTGGTTCCTCGTACACCACTCAACAAAGCTTTTCACAAGGTTCTTATATTCTCCTTCCTGCCCATCCCTAATGCACCCAACCACAGAGTCATCAGAAAATTTCTGAAGGTGGCAATGGTTCGACCTGTAGTCAGACTGTACTGCAGTTAAGTGAACTTTTCTGATTCTGATTTTATGTGCGTTCAAAGCTGTGTTTGCTAGTCATGTCCTGGTTAGCGGTTTCGAGTTTTGCTCAAAATTAGCTAAAATTGTCACTACCGAAACAGTCACTACCGAAACATTTAGTAAAGTTTCAGTTGTATTATGTTTGTGACATTTTAACGACAAAATGGAATGTTCAATCATTTGTTTTAATAAAATACACATAAATAAGGTACAGCATCACTCAAAGCCAAAGGATTTTAGTCTAAAGTCCAAAGCAGTTAAACAGCCGAAATGTGTTTTCAACTCTTTGAACCAGTTCAGTATAATGATCCCCCCGTACACAAACAAGTGTGAGTGTTTGGCTGTGTGTGTGTGTGTGCTTTCTCAGGGTGCACCTTGAAAAAACAGCAAGATATCCATTTTCCTCTATAGGTCCCTGTGCACACTTTTTGCTGAAAGATGCTTAACTCTCAAGGCGCTTCAGTTACTCATCCTATGCTGCAGTCTGCTTTTAATGATCTTGACCTACAAAAAGGGTGTGCGTGTGTTTGTGTTGCAGCGTGCTCACAGATCTCTGATTTGGGTAGGCGGATGTTTTGATGCACCTCTCTGTCTAAAACAGAATTAATTTGTGGGTGTTAATTAAATAAACTTTCAGAGGGAAGTCTCGATTCGAGACCCCAGCAGGCGGCCTGACAAAATCAGCCTTTTTTAAACCTTCCCCTCTCTTCCGTGATTGTTTTCACCTACTCCTTTTTTCCCTTTTGCTGATGCCTAACTCTCAGTTAGCTCTCTGACACAAACATGCATTGAAAGTAACTGCTGAAAAATCCATTTGTAAAACAGATCATTCTAGTTCTGTATTCTGATTGGCTGAGCCATATTACACATATGACCACACATCAGTTGAAGTAGCCTTAAAGTCATCATTTAAACCATGAAAAGAATTTATGTTGATTAATAAGTTTGTAAATATTGTTATGCATTATTATTAACCCAAGAATCTATTAAAAGTTGCACAGGAGAGTCCCTAAACCATAACACTGACGAAGAATGTACAGATTTATGAATACGCAAAATTATGTAAACTGTAAACACCTCTTTCCCAAACCCCTCCCCTTTCAACTCCACTGTCACGCATGTGTAGAGAACACTACTTTTTATGCCATTACCTGATCTGTACCGCACATGTGTAAATATTTTATGGCAGTTTCAAAGTGTAGTTGAGCCTTAACAAAACAGCCATACTGTTCAGTAGTACCTACATGTTTATTTTGCTCTCCTCCCTGCTTGGTTGGCAAGCTATCACAGAAAACACAGAGCTTTAATGTGTGATTATCTACCTGACTGGTTTTGCTTTGTGAATGACAGCATGAACAAAGCTGGGCAAAATATAGGCTCAAGCTCAAATCACTTCCTACCTCTATGTAGTGTGCACTACATAGGTCATTATATAACAGCTTCTACACACAAACCATGCATTACAAAAGCCATTTATATTCAATCATAGATCCACAAGTCACAGACATGCTCTTATACAAAACCACAATGACAGAAACATTGAGCAGGGTTTTGTCTGGACCCCTCCCGCCTCGCTGTGCTCCAACCTGAATGTTTTCACCCACAGAAAGAAACTTAATATTAAGTATGATCTTAAAATAGATGGTTCTTGAAGCGTTCTTTATTAAGGGAATGGTTCTGCTTAGAATGAGGAGTTCTATATAGAATCATTTCATGCTTAAATGGGTCTTTGTATGGTGAAATCATTCATCAGATTGATGCAGAATGTGTTGTATGAAGTTCTAAATAGAACCTTTTTTGAAAATGGTTCTATATATATATAGCACCAAAAAAGGTTATAATAACGGTATCAAGAACCCTTTTTGGTGCTATATAGAACTGTTTTCAGAATATTTTCCAACATTCTGTAAAGCTTGTCCAGTTGCTATGAAAGATGTATCATAAGATCTGTATAAATATGTCATTATTAAAAATCATTGTGCAGTTCCCTGACCATAAAGCTGCTTTGACCATAAAGTTACTTGAGAATCCATCTCCCCTGTTATGGACTATGGTCCCTCCTTCGTGGAGGAATTTATCTATTCATGCTCCACCATAAATGCATTGTTTCATATCTTTACGGAACATTGGCAAAAATCACATTTAACCTAATGAGAAACTGTATTACACAACTTTAAACACAAGAATAGAGCGAATTATTATTGTTTCCTGTCATGTAATCGAGCTAACTTTATCATTGTGGCAAACCCACTGTTAGCATTTCCAACCAACCTAGTTTCGATTAGCGACAATAACAGTCTGGCTAAGAAATGTAGCACTGTAAACTGGAACTCAATGTTACGTAGCAAATATTGCTACAATTTCTCATTATGTTGAATGGGGTTTTTGGCAACATTCTGCAAAACTTGTCCAACCTAGCAACAGTTGCTACGAGGAATGTATGGACAGGTCAAATGACGTCTGTACAAATGTGTTA